AAGTGAAGTAACTCAGGAATGGAAAACCAAATATTGTATATTCTCACTTATAATTAGGAGCTAAGCTGTGAGGATGCAAAGGCATAAGAATGATACAATGGACTTTGGGGACTTGGGGGGAAGAGTGGATGGGATGAGGGATAAAAGACTACACATTGGGTACAGTACACTGCTTTGGTGATGCATGCACCATAACCTCAGAAATCACCACCTAGGAACTTATCCATGTAGTAAAACATCACCTATTCCCCAAAAACCTATTGAAATAATTTTAAAAAAGAAAATTCTGCTGTAACAAGGAATAAGAATTGGAGGTAAACAGACCAGTGAAGAGATTAGTCCGGCAAGACACGAGGCTTGAACTGGGAGGAATCAATACTCATAGTATCTACTACAATGACTTCTGTCATGAATTTTCTGGTGATTAATAAGGTTGTCCTTCTGGTTAAGGCTTGCCATATGCATGACATTCATAAACATTTTCTCTGCTATAGATTGCTGATGCATAATCAGGCCTGAGGCCTAAGTTAAGGTCTTGATGCATAGATGACACTCAAAGGGCTTCTCTCTACTGCGAATAATCTTGAAGTTTACACAGTTTGAGCTCCAGGTAAAGGTTTTTCCCATAGACACTATATCCCTAGGACTTGTCTCTACTATTGCTTCTTTTATGTTTAGAGCTCCTGATGGTTATCCTTGCATATTCACTGCATTTATAGGACTTTTCCCTACTGTGAATTCCCTGGTGGAGAATAAGAATTGAATTCTATCTAAAATCTTTTAAACACTAGTTATACATTTAATGTATTTCCTTAAGACTAATTATCTGACTACCTAAAAATTCAGAGTTCAGTATAATGATAAAATTTTGTAAATTTCTACTCCACACTCTCTGGCCTATAGCTGCTCTCCTTTGGGTCATAAGGCTTAAGCTCTTCTCGTGGATATTATTTCAGGAACTCTCCCCCAGGAAGAACTGGCTGTTCAGTGACAGAACTAAAATAGTTTTCTTGGAAGGAAACACATATCATGCTATGTCCCACCTAGCACTCTAACTTGCCTTAATACTCAGAAGTTGTTCCAGAGTTGGGGGCCTAGGGAATGACTCTGCTTGTAACATCTCTAGAAATTCTTCTATGACTAACATGTCTTGCTTTGGAATAGAATTCTTGATGTCAGTCTTATCATCTGAAAAAATAAATAGGTATATGTAGTAATTGACTTTGGCATGCTGAGCCCTCTTAAAACTCATTAGGAAAATTTGCAGGAAAAATTTAGACAGGACCTTCTGAGAACTCAGAAATAGGTTCCCAGGAACATAAGGGGATGGAAATCCTCAGATACAGGAACACATGTATGGAGGCTGAAGATAGAGGCCCAAGTCTGAGACATCTAAGCAGTGTCACCTCCAGAAAACCTTGTAAATTATGCTAAGCCACAGCTAGCTAACCAGTACCCCCACTGTTTGAAAACAAGAAACAGAAAAACACTACATGTTCCTTTCAATATACATTCCTTCAACAAGTATTTGTTGAATGCCTGCTATGTTTCACAGTCTATTTTAGGTTACTGGGGATACAAAGAAAGTCAAATAACATAAGAAGTCTGTCCTTGAAGGGCTCAAGGTCTTGTAGGAGAAACAGGCACATAAACAGGGAATCATAGAGGTATGGAGGAGAAACATCTACCACTATCACAACAGAGCAAGTTAAGGAAGATTTCTGGAATAGGTGATACCTGAATTGAATCTTTTTTTTTTTTTTTTTTTTTTGAGATGGTGTATTGCACTGTCGCCTGGGCTGGAGTGCAGTGGCATGATCTTGGCTCGCTGCAACCTCCGCTTCCCAGGTTCAAGCAATTCTCCTGCCTCAGCCTCCAAAGCAGCTGGGATTACAGGCACCTGCCACCATGGCCAGCTAAATTTTATATTTTTAGTAGAGACGGAGTTTCACCATGTTGGCCAGGCTGGTCTCGAACTCCTTACCTCAGGTGATCTGCCCGCCTCAGCCTCTCAAAGTGCTGGGATTACAGGCATGAGTCACCACGCCTGGTCCTGAATTGAGTCTTAAAGGACAAGCAGGAGTTAAGCTAGACCAAAACAACAACAACAAAGATGGATTGTGTGAACCTGTGGATTATATCAGGGAAAAAAGAGAGGGATTGAAGAAGATAATTCTAGCCAGAAAAAAGAATGTAAAGACCAGGAAGAAAGTAAGCATAGGTGGACTAAAAGAAGCTTACAGAAAAGTGTCAACAGGTAAGACACAAGACATAAGCAGAAGACAGTTCATGACCAACTTTATAGATCCTGTAAAAGACTTTGTTGTTTTTCCTGGCAATGCTGAGGAGCTATTGAAGGAGTCTAAACAGCAAAGTGACATGGCCATATTTCTGGGATAGAAAGATCATGCCGACATCCAGTGGGGAGGAGGCAGATGATGAAGCCTGAACTGCAATAATGGCCTTGGAGACACAGAAAAGGAATTCATAAACAGAATTGAAATTAAATGGACAAAATATTTGCTAGCTTCTTCCTATGTGTCAGGCATTACAAGTTTTGCAGAGATTCACTCTTTTACACGTCATAAAAACACTATGAATTAGATATTATCAATATCCTCATATTACAGAGAAGGAGACTGAAATTCAGACAGGTGAAGTAACCTCCCAAAGTTCACACAGTCAATAAATGGCAGAATCCAGTTAATCTGGCTCTAGGGATGATGTTCTTAATCCCTGTTCATTCTTGAGGTAACACTTAGAAGAACCAAGTACCAGGATGAGATCTCTTCTTCCATATAGTGACTGAGCAAGTAATTCCAGACTCTTCCTTCTCCCTCAACATCTAGAAAACTCACTGTTCCTGAAATGCAGTAAACATCTTAAGACCTCCATGATTTTGTTGATATTGTACCCTCTGCCTGGATTGCCCCTCTCCCTCTGCTTTACCCAGTAAACTCATGCTTCGTAACCCATTTAAAATATCATCTGTTCTCTGTAGTATTTCCTGAAACACATTAGGGACTTTTAAACTTTTTTCCTTTTGCTCATATTGCTGTCTCTGCCTGCTGAATAGGGGATTGAGAACTAAAACACATTCTTCTTTAGCAAAAAACAAAAACTATAAATAGTTACTAGCTATATTAAGATATATGCCAGGTGTGATGGTTAATATTGAGTGTCAACTTGATCGGATTGAAGGATACAAAGTATTGATCCTGGGTGTGTCTGTGAGGGTGTTGCCCAAAGGAGATTAACATTTGAGTCAGTGGGCTGCGGAAGGCAAACTCGCCCTTAATCTGGGTGGGCATCATCTAATTGGCTGCCAGCAAATATAAAGCAGGCAGAAAAACATGAAAAGGCTAGACTGGCTTAGCCTCCCAGCCTATATCCTTCTCCCATTCTGCATGCTTCCTGCCCTTGAACATTGAACTCCAAGTTCTTCAGCTTTGAGACTCAGACTGGCTTCCTTGCTCCTCGGCTTGCAGACAGTCTATCATAGGACCTTGTGATCATGTGAATTGATACTACTTAATAACTCCCATGTATATATATATATACACACACACACACACACACACATATACATACACATATATGAGAGTTATATATAAACTCACATATATGTGTGTGTGTGTGTCTCCTACTGGTTCTGTCCCTCTAGAGAACCCTGACTAATATACCAGGACATTTTTTAATTCTCCTAATAGGAAGCTACTCCCACTAAGCATATAGATTACTTACAAAAGGAAGAATATGAGCCTGACATTGAACATTTTAGCTGTAATTATAAGTGTTATTAAACAATGAAATAATATTTATAACACTCTGAGGGGTAAAAAACTGGATTTTGGAATTTTATACCTAATCAAAAATTATAAAAGAATTCTCTGTATTACTCTATGATATTTTGAAAAGTATTGATTACTAAAATTGATATGGGAAGAAGTTTTTTTAAAAAAACATATAGACAAATTATAATGGAAACCATTGGAAAAGCTGTCTAAGAACAACCCAGCTACCATCACCAAATGGTGTTAGGGCAAATAATTATATTGGCTGGTATTACCCAAAATTACAAGAACAGATGTGTTATTTAAATTAAAATAGAAACTATAGACCAATCTTACATGAAGAAGAAACCACAGCATGTCTGGGACATAGCTATCATGCTACTCTCTGAGTTTCATTCCAGAATCTGGGTAAGGGGTATAGCTAATGAAGGAGAGAGATGCTGATAGTGAGACAAACCCTTCAGGAAGTAACCCAACAAAGCCTGTATGTCTTCCTTAATTCCCACTCATCACAAGTGTTTGAGCCTATCATTAACCGGGACAACCTTTTACGGAGATATTGGATAAAACGTAAGACAAAATCTTTAAAAGATCCATATCATTTGGTCAAATAATTCCACTTCTAAAAATCAATACTAATATTTGTGGTGATGGTTGCACAATTCTGTAAATATACTAATAATCACTGAATTACACATTTAAAATGGGTGAATTTTATGGTTTATAAATAAGCTTTTGGAAAATCTATGCTAAGAAAATAATCTAAAATCCAGAGAAAACTTTAAGTACCATGATGTTTACTGCAGTGCAACTGCAAAGTAAAAAGTTGAAACTCCTAAGTCACTGAAGTCTATTCAATCAAACATTGTCTGAATATCTACTTATTGTCAGGTTGACACTGGGGTTGCAGATATGAATCAGACCTAGACTCTGATTCCAGAGGAATTCCCACACAGGTAGGAAGTCAACAAAGACACAGAACAAATCAATGCAGAGAGAGAGAGGGGATTATGTAGAGAAGGGCCAGGGAAGTGTTTCCTGAGGACACGCTATGTGAGCACATGGGGCTGGAGCTTACTTCCCCCTCCAGACTACATTGCCTCATAAAAAGATAAGAATCATACAATCACCACCCAAAGAGAAAATGAGACATTTTCCTCTAAAGGAGAGGAGATATCAGGCACAACCACAGCCACCCACACTCACAGGCTCAGCTGGAGCAGGAATAGTAGAGGCACCACCTAAGTATCCTTCCGAATGACCTGGGAAGTCCCAGCCACTTTCCTCCATTAGGGCACTTCGAGTTCTTCTCTACGTCACCTCAGAGGTTTGTTAACCTCAGTAGATTTTATTCTTCTAGTTTCTTTTCTGGGTACAGGTAGAACAGAGTAGAAAGAACAGAGGAAATACATCTGAATGCAACAGGCACTTCTGACAGCCCCTCTAGTCAATGGTTTCAGATTCCTATCAGCAAGTTGCTCAAGATCTGATGTGGGAGGAAGACATAAGACAAGGTGCCAGTAGTACAGTGTGATAAATTCTGAGAGAGAAGATGTGGGAGCCCAGAAGAGGGAACAAGATCCAGTGTGGGGGTTTAAAAAGGCCTCCCAGAAGTGATGACATTTGAGCTCAATTTTCTTTTTTTTTTACTTTATTATTATTATTATACTTTAAGTTCTAGGGTACATGTGCATAACGTGCAGATTTGTTACATATGTATACTTGTGCCATGTTGCTGTGCTGCACAAAGTCAGGAAACAACAGGTGCTGGAGAGGATGTGGAGAAATAGGAACACTTTTACACTGTTGGTGGAATTGTAAACTAGTTCAACCATTATGGAAAACAGTATGGCGATTCCTCAAGGATCTAGAACTAGATGTACCATATGACCCAGCCATCCCATTACTGGGTATATACCCAAAGGATTATAAATCATGCTGCTATAAAGACACATGCACACGTATGTTTATTGCGGCACTATTCACAATAGCAAAGACTTGGAATCAACCCAAATGTCCATCAGTGACAGACTGGATTGAGCTCAATTTTCAAAGTGACAAATGGTTAGCCAGCTAAAGAGTTGAAGGTCAAGGTTATTGCAGCTGCATTTGAAATACCTTCTAGAAGAACTGGAATTAATCTTTAATTTTAAAAATGGTTAAATACACCATGCTATACCCATACTCTCGAATTTATATGCCACTGCATCTCCAGTACCTAGCACCACACCTGACATGCTATAGGCACTCAATAAACATTTGTTGAATTAATAAATTAATCCAGATGGAGCAGCAAATATCACAGAAAAGGAGCTAATATCCATATTATTCAAAGTTCTTCTACAACTCAAAAATAAAACTATAAACAGCAATAATAATAGCTACATCTCATCTTCACAATAATCCAATAGGGTAGGTTCTACGACTGTCCCATTTTACATATGAGAGATCTGGAGATAAGTGAACCAAATAGCTAAGGTGTTTTGGTGACTTGGTGACTTGGGTGAGTCTGACTCCAGAGTGCATGCTTTTAGTCTACTATATTTTACTGCCAACCCACCCCCAAAATGGGCAAAAAGTAGACTACTCAGAAGAGAAATAGACAAATGATAAAGAAACATATGAAAAGACACTCAATCTCATTAATAATGAAAGAAAAGCAAATCAAAGCAACACTGATATACCATTTTTAGTGCCTATAAGATTAACAAATATTTTAAAAATTGCAAATAACAAATGGTATTGGTGAGTTTGTGAGAAAACAGATAGACATTTACTCTTATACACCACTAGGTGGAGAGGGGTGTATAACACATATATAGGGCAAATTGGCAGTATCAAAAATTTTAAATGTCTATTACCTTTAGACCCAGGAATTCTTTTATTTTAGGATGTCACCCTCTAAAAAAATGCTCTCACAAATGCCAAAAGATGTTTATTGCAGCATTAATCACAATGGAGGGGGGAAAATCCTTGGGAATAACCTAAATTTCTATCAATAAGGGAGTGTTTAAATACATTATAGTGCATTCAGATTTTGTAACCTCCATGGTATATTGGCATATGGTTGAATGAAAAAAAGGAAATTGCAGATCAATATGTAGACAATGGTCTTATTTATGTAAATATAATATTAATGATGACAATCTGCTCTAAAGATGAAATTGTCTGGTTATAACATGGTCCTGCTGCCTTAGGATTGATAAGAGAAGGGGAAAAAGAGAGTGACAAAAGGGAGAGAAAATGAAAAAGGGAGGAGAAGGTAATAGAAAAGATAAGACAGAGAACTTCACATTTTAAATTGTATATTATGAGAGGAAGAGAAGAGTGTGGGTTCTGTAACTAGATTGCCTAGGTTCACAGGCGGGCTCTGTACTTTCTAGTTGGGTAATTATCAGCAAGTTACCTCACCTCTCTGAGCCTCAGTTTTTTCATCTGTAACACAGGGATAATAGTACCTATCTTTTAAGGTCCTTACATGGCTAAATTAATTCATGTAAAGCACTTAATGAAGGGTCTGGTGCATTGTAAGCACTCAGTCAACAGTAGCTGTTATTTTATTTGGACCAGGCACTGTGCTATGTACATGATATTACCGAATTGTTACCACAACCGGGGATCCAGTCTGTGGAAGCTGACTGTTAGAGCTCATAAGCACAACACTGTATTCTAGGTCTGACTCCAGAGCCCTCCCAACTTGTGCTATAGTCACTTCTGGGTTCTATTGCCCTCCTTTTATAGTTGAGGAGATCTATATTCAGAGATAGATCAAGGTACCCTAGCTCTAGGTGGATGGTCTAATTCCAGAGCCCAAATGAGCTAATTTTACTGTCCTAGAGAGAAAAGAAAATAGGGAAGAGCCAGAGCTGGGGGAGGGGGTACACTAGAGGGAAGGGCTACTTTGGGTTTTATCTCTAGCAAGGAAGAGACTGAGATACCTTTGGGGCCAATGCAGGGTCAGCCCAGCAGAAGGCAGGGTGGGTGGGGCTGAGTCACAGGAGAAGGGATAAATGCCAGGTCCTAACCCACAGTACCCACCCGTTGTTCGTTCGTCCTCAGTGCAGGGCAACAGGTAAGAGCTGCTTTCAGCCTGGCACCCTCTCTCTGGTCTGCCAGCTGGTCTCTCAGGGCTGTACACACTGACTCTCTGGACTGAGTAGATCTGACTTTTTTCTTTGTTTGTTTCTCAGAATCTGTCTCTTTTGCATTTTCTTGTTATCTCCCATGTCTCTTTCTGTCTTTCCTCATTTTCAGCTTTCTTCTCTCTTTTTCCCTTCATTACTTTCCTTTGTTAGTTTTCAAGATCATTCATTTCATTTCATCATTCTCTGACACTCTTGCTTTCTCTTATTTTTCCCTCCTCTGACTTCTATCTTTTTCTCTAAATTTCTTTCTCTTCCCCCTTTTTGTCTCTTTCCTTGGCTCTGTATTTCTCTGTCTCTGCATTTCTGTCCCTTCTTCCTCTCTATCAAGAACAATGGCTTAATATTTCTTTCTGCAATTCCCCATTCCTCTCTCCCTTTGACTCCCTCTACCTGCTGGACTGACAGCAGAGCTCAGTGGGTCAGAGCCCATGGGGAGCCTAGGGATGAGGAGAAGAGCTAGGGAGGGAAACTAAGAGGATGTGGGGGTGATGGGAATGATGAATTGGGTAAGGAGAGATTTGGGGGAATTGAGAGATGAATAATTAGCAGAAATAAGTGAAGATAGTGGAAGAGGAATGTAGTGTCACTATACAGAAAGTAAACAGATTTCTATTCTCATCCTAATTCGCCGTGAGACCCTAGACAAGTCATTTACCCTCTGAAAAAAAGGATTAGCCTGTAATTTCCACCACCCTTTCTAGTTTTGATGTTGTGATCTTCTACATTTTCCTGTTTCTAAGAATTTCTGATTCTCTGATTCCAGTTATCTAAAGTTCTATATGATTCTTCTGTGGTGGGAAAGTGGTACTAAGAAGAGAAGTAAGGCCTGATGTTTCCAACTCCTGAAGAGAAATTACCACTTCTCCTCCAGACCTAATTGACTTTTGCAAAGCAGGCCACAAAAGGGGTGGGGGTGTGGGGGACAAGGAATGCTGCAATGAGTGTTTTCTGGCTCTCTGCTGGGTCAGAGTTGCAGTTGGCCCTTTTGACCTCTGGGAATACAGATTGGGTGCTGACACGAGAGAGGATTTTAAAGTCATAGGGAAAACCTTTCAGTAATGATCTGTTATTTGGTCTGAAATTTCACCATCATCTCTTTGGTTAAAAGTATTGTTTTAAGAAGATGCCTGGCAAGCATTACCACACGGTAGGTGCATAAGTTATTAATGGTAGAGTAAATGAATATCCAACAGTACCTGAAATTCCACTGTAGTTACAGATCTGTTCCTTTGGTAAGGCATTGGTAACAAATGGCATATGACCTGGAAAGAGGTCTATGTTAGTGCAGCAGAGGAGATAAATGTCTAGAGTCAGGCCCTCAGTCAAGAAAAAAAGGTAGTAACATTTGAATCACAGATCCATAATGGTTAAGTTAGGAATCTCTGGAAACAGATTGCCTAGGTTCAAATCCTGCTTCTCCTATGTACTAGCTTTCTGATCTAGACAAGTTACTTAATCTTTTTGGGATTCAGTTTCCCTATCATCACAGGGTTGACATAAGAACAGGGCCTGGTACAGAGGGCTCTGTGAGTGTTTGACTATCAGAACTAGGTGGGATCTATGAAATTATCTAGCCCAATGTCAGTGGAGAAACCGAAGCCCAGAGAGGGGAATTACAGAGCCCAAGTTCACACAATAAATTGTACAGGACTGGGACAACAATCAGTCTCTAGCTTCCCAAACCCAGCCTGGTATATTCATGTGACTTCCCTTAGCGTACCTTCATTTTTTCTACATGGGAAATGGAGAAAATAAAAATAATAAAGTCTATCAATTAAATATAATAACTAATACTTTTTCACTGTTTACTCTGGGATAGGTACTCTGCTAAATGCTTTATATGAATTATCTTACTGAATCTTCACAACATTCCTGTGATGCAGATTGTCTTTGTTATTACCAATATTTTCCAGATATAAGATGTATAACAGGGAAGTGACTTTTCTAAGGTCCCAAAGCTAGTGAGTGGTGGAGTCAGGATTCAAACTCAAGTAGTTTGGCTCTAGAGCCTATGCTCTTTATACCCTAAATTGACTAAAATGCTTCCTTGATTCAATTTTATTCACTCTAGTCTCTTGGTGGGTAATGAGATGGAATAGAAACAGAGCCCATGGTAACTAGACTACAAGGTCGTGGGTATAATGATGGCCAGGCAGAGTGAGGCAGAGCAAATTTCAGGAAAGGAATAATAGAACAAGAGAAATGAGAACAGAAGCTTGAAAGAACTTGAGAATTCAACAAATTCCAAGAAGTAGTCTATATTTTCCCAGGACTCTGAGCATATCATGGCCAAAAGCCCCCTAGTGATGACATGTGTTTAATTTCTTCTGTTTTTATATACAGGAGGTAGGCCTTCTCCACCATCCCAAGGCAGGACTGCACTTTGCCTCCAATATTGGGGGCTTTCCTTCCCACTACATACGCCAATGTTGTTGGCATTATTGTTGCCAGTATTGATGTTGGGGGAGTTTACAGGAGCCTGGAGCCTCGTCATCTGCCTTGCCTGCACTTCTGGGCTATCCACTTCTTACCACCAATAGCCAGGGCCAGCTCTAGCCAGATGCTCAGACGTGATTCCAGAAAGGGGCTCCTCTTCTCTCCCACGCCCTGGTCTCAGCTTGGGGAGTGGTCAGACCCCAATGGCGATAAACTCTGGCAACTTTATCTGTGGTCTACAGGCTCAGCCCCAAGTGCTTTAGCTTTCACAAGCAGGCAGGGGAAGGAAAACACATATCTCCAGATATGAGGTAGGCACTGGATCCAATTCCTTACCTACCATGTGAAGTGGCCATAATTACCTCATATTTGACAGCTGATGAAGGCCAAGATCCAGAGAGGGGAAGTAATTTGTACAAGAACATCCAACAATGAAATTGGAGAGCTGGAATTTTAATAAGAAAAGCTAACATTTATTGAAGATTTACTATGTGCCAAACACTACCCTAAAGGCTTAACTTGGATTGTTTCATTTAGTCTCTCCAACAACCCTTCTGTCGTTTCCAATTTCAGGGCCCACATGCCTTGGCCCCACATACAAACCCAGGATGCTGTGACAGCCCATGAGAGGGGGAGAGGTTGCTCTGGGATGGAACAAGAAAAAAGAGGTTGTTTTGTGAGGTAGGGGGAGGGTGCTTATTCTATGAGATCAGGAAGGGAGGGAGATGAAGGAGGTTGCCATATGAGGACAGGGCCATGAGCTGAACTGTCCCTCACGACATAAGGCTGAGGGTGCTAGTAGATTCTACTCAGTAACTTTCTTCACAGTGTCAGGGCTTTAGTCTTCCCACATTCTCCCATGTCTCTCCCATTGTACTGTCCCTTATCTTGTCTCACTTTTTGACTCTGTCTTTCCAATTTGCCCTTTTTCTTTACATCTGTCTCTCCTTCTTGCTCTCTCTAGCTGTCTTTCTCTTGGTGTCTCTCAGCTCTCACTCCTCTTAACCCTCATCCCCCCGCTTTAGTCACCTCTCTGTCTCTATCCTTTGATCTTGTCATTTTTCTCTACGCTCTTCTCTCTGTCCCTTGGTCTCTCTCTCTCACCTCCCTCAATTAGGGCCACGATTCTCTTCCCCAAACTCACTTAGCCTTTTGCAATTTCTGGAAGCATTTTTTTTATCTTTGTGTCTGACTGACTCTCTACCCCTGCTGGATTCTCTCCACTCCTGCTCTCACTTCTGTGAATCTTTGTATAATCCTCTAGACTCATTGATCTCTCCTCATGTCCCTTTCGTGTCCCTTGGTCTGTCTGTCTCTGCCTTTATCCCTGTGTGCGCTATCCCCACCTCCTTTTTCTTTTTTCATTTTCTCTTTCTCTCAACTCAATCTCTGTTTTCATCTTCACCCTGTTCCCTTTCCCTCTACCTTTGGTCTCTTTTTCTCCCTCAATTTCTGTTCTTTTAACTCTACCACCACCACCACATCTTTGTTCTCTCTCTACTTTCCTCCTTTTATCTTTCCTACATTTTCTTTTCTTCTAGCTTTTCTCCTAGTCCCTTCTCCTTCCTCAATTTCAGACTCTGTTCATTCATCAATTTACCCCAAAATTCAACAAATATTTATTGAGTGCCTGTGTGTCATTTGCTTTCTCTTTTTCTGATCCCTCTGCCCCCTTTCTCTTCTTTGTCTTGGCCTCTGCCTGTTTCACTAACCCATAGACTATGTCTTTGTGCCTTGTTTTCCAGCCCCACTGGGACTTGTTTTCACCTCTTTCTAGATCTGTGCTTATCCAAGAGACAGGAGCAAATTCAAAGACAGCATAATATCAGGCTGGTGGCACATAGTCTGTAGGACCTAGGCCCTACCCTTCCTTACTGTTCCCTTGATTTCCTTAAACTGATACATTTGACCTCAAGCTCCTTCTCCCTCTCTGACTGATCCTGCTTAGGAAACACCCTGGGCCAAGCCTCAGGAGCTCTGCTCAATGACATATGTTTGCATTAGCAGGCTGAATCTTCACTTGGCTAAGACCAACATTCTTAGAAAGATTCTTGGCCTTAAGTATTGATCAAAGGGTTAGTGGGTTGGCAGTTCTCATCCTGCCACATGAAAACACATTTCAGTGATCCTCATCATCACAGAGGTAGTCAGTGCCAGAGTGAGTCAGAATCCAGGCTTTCTGACCTCCAGTTAGCACTCTTTCCTTCACCTCTTTGCCCAGTAGTCAGTTTCCTATTTCTTCCTCTATGATGTTTTATTGGTACATGTTAACATTGGGAAAGAAGTTCTTTCCCTGGAAGGGCAATAAGAGCATCTCAGAGGCAGCAAGTTTTGGGTGGGAAGCTGAAGATGAGGATCAAAGGCCTGGCTTTTGGCCAGGCCCTCATGATGGAATCTCATCTCTTCCATGTCTTCTGCAGGACTTCGGGCTCAAGATGGTGACTGCAGCCATGCTGCTACAGTGCTGCCCAGTGCTTGCCCGGGGCCCCACAAGCCTCCTGGGCAAGGTGGTTAAGACTCACCAATTCCTGTTTAGTATTGGACACTGTCCCATCCTGGCTACCCAAGGACCAAACTGTTCTCAAATCCACCTTAAGGCAACAAAGGCTGGAGGAGGTAAGAAGAGGCTGCTAGCAAAAGGGGAGAATGTTACTGTCCTGGGGTAAAAGTTCCAAGCCATACTGGCCATCTTTGCCTAATAATTAGGAGGGTTCATGTGAAAAGTGTCAAGATAGCATGAACTGGCCCCAAAATATACCCAGGATCTGTCTTCTGCCAGGTCCTCTAGAAAGGGTCTCATTCTCGGCCAGGCGCAGTGGCTCATGCCTGTAATCCCAGCACTTTGGGAGGCCGAGGCGGGTGGATCACGAGGTCAGGAGTTCAAGACCACTCTAGCCAAGATGGTGAAACCCCGTATCTACTAAAAATAAAAAAATTAGCCAGGCGTGGTGGTGGGTGCCTGTAATCCCAGCTGAGGCAGAGATTACAAGCGTGGGAGGCTGAGGCAGAGAATTGCTTGAACCCAGGAGGCGGAGGTTGCAGTGAGCCAAGACCGCACCACGGTACTCCAGCCTGGGCTACAGAGCGAGAATCTGTCAAAAAAAAAAAAAAAAAAAAAAAAAGGAGAGGAGAGAAGAGGAGAGGGAAAAGAAAAGAAAAATTATCACTGTCATGTCCCTCACACACTATACTCCAGACATGCTGAAACTACTTAAAATTGCCTAAATCAACTACTGTGTCAAGAGTTTGTGCCTTTGCTCCTGTCAGATTACCCTCTCCTAGACCCCATACTGGAGAATCTCATACTTCTCATTTGACACTAAGCTTTAACACTAATCATCTCCTCTGCAAAGCCTGCTTAGACCTCCAAATTAATTCCAATTCTGGCTCATTTCCCCTCCCTCTTCTGGACTTCAGTAGCCCGTTTACTTCCTCTATCCCAGCACTGTTCACAATGTGTCTTCAGTGTATGCCATTCTCACCAGCTTAGGAGCTCCCCTAGCACAGGGACCAGACTCATCTATCTATGTGTCTCTATGATAGCCTGAGATAGGGCTTTGGGGTACATTAGATCTAAGTAATTATTGTTGAGCTGAACTTATGATTAGAAATGCACCCCAAATTACTCTCTTACCTTTGCATAGATTCTCCATCTTGGGCCAAGGGCCACTGTCCCTTCATGCTGTCGGAACTCCAGGATGGGAAGAGCAAGATTGTGCAGAAGGCAGCCCCAGAAGTGCAGGAGGATGTGAAGGCTTTCAAAACAGGTTGGAGTCAAGTTCCACCTTATGCAACCTTTACTCCTAATGCTTGAACCCACTACATCACAGTCCTGAGCTAGGCTAATACAAAAGCAGCCAGTACCTATCCCATGATAAGAAGTCCATTCTTTCCAGGGGAGCCATGGTAGGCAACAGTTTAGGCTGTATGCTGAAGCACACGATTCCTGACAAACGCACATGTACAGGCTCCTGAAACTGTTAGTCATTATTCTAAGATGAGCCCCCTAGAATTTTGACTCCTCTTTTTCAGGTGGCTAAATTGATCCCAACAGGCTGGGGTCCCACATTTCAGCAAGACCACTCTATGAGAATATGGATTTGCATGAAAGAGAAAGAGCTGGGAGTAGGTACCTCCTTTAACCAGGGTGCAGATCCCCAGGTCAGCTTAATTAGTGCAGACCACCCAAGATAATCACCCTTGAGGTATGGCCACACTGTTGGCATCTTTCATAGGCCCCTTTGGAATATCATTAAGGACAAAAACTTCAAAATTGAAATTTAATGATGTTTAGAAAAGAAGAGTAAGGTACATTTTCCTGCATCTACTTTCTAAATGCAGGACCCAGGATGGTTGCCCCAGTTACCTCACCCAAGGGAAAATCCTAGTGGAGAGAAGTATGAGTCACCTTATAGAAGGTTTCCTAACAATGTAATAGTCTCCATTCAGGGAGATAAATAGAAGCTCACCTTGGAGAAGATTTCTTCTCGCTGCAGAAGGTGTCCTTACCTTATAAACTTGAATTTTCACATGTTGCGTTGAGCTTAAAGAGGACAACACGTGCTTTCTTTTTCCCCCATTCTCTTCATGGCCAATGAATCTCACATTCCATCTCAGATCTGCCTAGCTCCCTGGTCTCAGCCAGCCTAAGGAAGCCATTTTCCAGTCCCCAGGAGCAGAAGCAGATCTCTGGGAAGGTCACACACCTGATTCAGAACAATATGCCTGGTGAGTTTGCTGAGGTGGAAATAAAGGGGATCAGAATAGGGAAGGCATTCTGAAAGGGCCTCTGTCATAGTAGGGAAAACAGCACAGAAGGGCCTTGGAACCAAAGGAAATTTGAGTTTAAAATTTAATGCTGACACTTGCTGGATCTAGGTGTTTTGGCAAGTAAGACACTTTCCTTCCATGGCATTTAGTACCTACCTCAATAGGTTACCATGAGTAGAAAATAAAATTACGTTTATGGAAGTGTTTCTAATGAGGCTTCATTAAATATTAGGCTTACTCCCATTATTTCTTCTCCATGCTTCCCTCAAAAACTCTCACCCTTCATAGAGCACCTTTTCCCCATTCTTATATGTGTTTATGTTCATTTTCATAATGACATTTGATTATTTTCTAATATAAAAGGAATATGATTCATGGTAAAATATTTTTCAACATAAACAGGAAAGTATAAGGAGGGAAATTTAAGTCATGCAGAGTTCCACCATTAAGTTTTTGCTATATTTTCTCCCAGATATTTTTCTATGGCTACACACACACACGCGCGCACACACACACACACCCCCTCTGCTCTCTTCACCACACCCACGCTTTTGTTAGAAGTGTGATCTTATTTTACCTGGAGTTTGTTATGCTGTTTTGTTTACTTAAAAATATGTCATGGGTATAGTATGGATTCAGTATCATTCAGTTAATCAAGCATCTACAATTTAAGTTGTTGTTTCCAATTTTTTGTATTCTCTCAGTTTAGATTGTAGATTGGTTTTACATATATACAAATGTACTCAAAGAAAATGTAGAGTATTACCTTTTTCAATTTTTATTTTTACCTAATAATATCTTGCTATATATTTTGCTCTGTGCCTTTTTCTTCACTCAACAATATACTGTAGACATTCTTCCATTTGAACACATATGTATCTACCCTACTTTTCAATGCTTCCAAATATTTTGTAGCATAGATATAACAGAGATTATTTGGCTACTCCTCTATTCGGTTGCTTCCAATTTTTTCTATTACAAACAGTGATGCAACAAACATCCTTGAATGTATCTCCTTGTGCACACAGGCAAGTGTTTCTCCAGGATAGACAATCAGAGGTGGAAATTCTTGGGATGTAAGGGTGTGTACATTTTCGATATTAATAAATATTGCCAATTAGCCCTCCAACGTGGCTGTACCAGTTATCAAGAAGGGTATCCATAGTCTCATACCCTTACCAGCACTTGATATTATCAAACTTTCAATCTTTATCAATTGATAGGTGAAATTTTGTTTTCCCAGTTTTCTTTTTCCTGATTAATAATCTTTTTCTACATTTATTCTATGTCCATTTTTCTACTGGGTTGAAATTTTTCATGTTAATTTTTCAGAGATTATATAATAAATTTTGAGTATCAATCATTTGTCTGTTAATTATGCTGCAAATATTTCTCTAGATATGTCAGTATGTGCATTTTAAAAACTTTTGATACATATTTCCAAACATCTCTGCAGCAAGGATGTTGCCAATTTGCACCTCCAGCAGCCATATAAATTGCTGTCTGCAACATGATTTCTGTCTCATGTAAAGAGTTCTGGAGTTTAACAAGCCCTTTGGCAAACATTATTTCAATTTATCCTAGAAATAAAGTTACCCCATCTTGTAGTGGTAATGGTTAAAGAAGTGGGCTCTGAGTTACTTACTTGATGAGCACTTACTTGCTGCATGACCCTGGTCAAGTTACCTAACACTTAATGCCCCAGTTCCCTCATCTGTAAAATGGCGATACTAATAGAACTGTCCTTGGAGTATTGTTGTGAGGAATAAATTAAATATTTATAAAGTCCCTAGGAAAAAACTTACATGTATTAGGCATTCATTAAACGTTAGCTATAATAATATAATTGAATATTAGCTATCTTTATTAGTATTATTATGACTACTAATACTATAGCAGTAATAATACTACTATTACGATGTGCCATTTATTAGTTTGAATATATTACATGTTGTTGGTTGTCAGATGCTCACAATTCTCCAAGGAAAGTATTATTAGCCTCATTCTACAAATAAAGAAATTTAAAGTAAGAAAGAAGATTCATGACTTGTTCAAGGCCACACCGCTAGGAAGTGGCAAAGAGACTGCTAGAAACAAGATCTGTTGATACTCCTTCCACTGAGACTGAAAGTAGTGATTCTAGTAAGGAGGCTGCCACACCAACCCGGGAAGAGAGATGAGGCCATAAAAAAGTCTAAATGAATGTGTGAATGAACTACTGAGTGAAGGAGTGAATGAGTAAGCAAAAGGATGGCTGAATGAATAGTAGAGAGTTAATATGGTCCAATAAGTCAATGACTGAGCACATAAATGAATATGTGGAAAAAGAGTTGGAGAACTCAAAATCAGCAACATGGGTAAAATACAGACTAGCCAGGAAGAGACTTAAAATGAATTCTTTTCATCCTCATATCTGCTCCTGCAGGAAACTATGTCTTCAGTTATGACCAGTTTTTCAGGGACAAGATCATGGAGAAGAAACAGGATCACACCTACCGTGTGTTCAAGACTGTGAACCGCTGGGCTGATGCATATCCCTTTGCCCAACATCTCTCTGAGGCATCTGTGGCCTCAAAGGATGTGTCCATCTGGTGTAGTAATGATTACCTGGGCATGAGCCGACACCCTCAGGTCTTGCAAGCTACACGGTGAGTAGTAGGCTCTCAGCCATCAGCAGTGGCCAGAGGAGATGAAAAACCACACACAGGAAAAAAAAAAAAAGCAGAACTGGCAGTGGAAACCTGGGTTCTACCACCACGTTTTTGTCGAAGGTCCTCCACCATATCTATTCCTTGGATATGAACTAAGTCAACACACCATGTTTCCCAAACTCTTGGGTGTCCAATGCTATGGAGGGGAAGGATGGGAGACCAGGCAAGGCCCACTCTGCCTGAGTTTTTAATCTAGCTGCAGAATTAGTATTGCCAGAGATGGAGTGTGACCTCCTCTAGGTCTTCCAAACTACTCAAGCTCAACCTAGCTTCTCCCTCTCTCCCTGAGTACCTCCAGTCCTAGAAGGAAGGTACATGTCTCCCTATCCTCCCCATCCTTCCCTCTACTTTGTCTCACAGGATACAGTGTATATAGGATCACTAATTCAACATTGACTCCCATCAAGGAAGGGAAACCTACCCAGTTCCTCGATGCCTGACATGTTTTTTTTTCTCCCTTTCTCCTGGCCAGGGAGACCCTGCAGCGTCATGGTGCTGGAGCTGGTGGCACCCGCAACATCTCAGGCACCAGTAAGTTTCATGTGGAGCTTGAGCAGGAGCTGGCTGAGCTGCACCAGAAGGACTCAGCCCTGCTCTTCTCCTCCTGCTTTGTGGCCAATGACTCTACTCTCTTCACCTTGGCCAAGATCCTGCCCGGTAAGCCTGAGGCCTGAGCTTTGTTCAGGGCTGGTATCCTGCAATACAGCATCCAGTTTCACTGGTTCCATCACTCCTCCCCTGTATTTGGAGTTCCCACTCCCATCGTTCTTCCTTCTTATCCACCTTGCATATCCTCAACACTGGATAATTGTATCCCTCTGCTTTCTCCCTTTCTGCACCTAGAGAGGACCACTACTGGGGAACATTACCCAACCTCACAGAAGGGAAACACTATAAATTCATCACCTCCCAACTCAACTGGGCTCTTAACACACATAAATAGTTATTTTATGTCTCCACAGGAGCTTTTTCAAACTTTTTCTCCTCTTCTAAAACCTCTGACTACCTTCTCATTCACACTTAGCAAATAATCTCACATCTTACTTCACAATAAAAACAGAAGCCCCAGACAGAGAATCCTTATTTATTGCCACCAAACCTACAAACTTATCTAATTGTTCATCTAGCCTTGCCTCATTCTTTCCTTTTACAATGGAAGACATATCTCTCCTTCTGCCTAAAGCCAATCCCTTCACTTGTACACTGGTTCCCATATTCCCAGTCTCCTACTTTCTAGTCTATAATGTCCTCACCTCATATGCCTTGTTGTCCTTCTGCCATGGCCCAATCCAGAATGAATACAACTCTCCATCTTCACTGTATCAATTCTGGGCTCATACAGTTGCTCAGACAGGAGTCACTAAAAATTCATAGTCTTAACTTCTACTGGGTTCTCCATGCTCTCTGGCAATCCCATTTCCCTGGTCAGTTCCCCAAGTTTATGGTGCAGTTTTGCCAAACCACCATTATTCTCAGCCTTCCTGCACCCCCTCCTCCCCACCTCCCTCAGCAGATGACTTCATGTTCTACTACATTCAAAATAGAAGACACCAGACAGCAATGTCCTTGACTCCCAGCCACATAGCACCTACAAATTCATAAGCATCTTCACATGTCCTCTCCTCACTCCTTCTCTTCTGTTATAGTGGAAGAAGTATCCTTTTTCTTGTGACTAATCCTTCCACTGTTGCTCTGTGCCCCATTCCTCTCTACCACCTTAGGAATCTTGACCTATTGGCTCTCTCCTCCTCTCTTGTATCTTCAGCCTCCCCCTCTCTTTAAACATGTTTTCAGGTCTCTTGCATCTTATAAAAAAACATTGCTTCAACTCCTCATCACTCTCTAGCTACTGCCCTCTTTCCTCCTTGTAACAGGCAAACTGCTTGAGAGAAGTCTCCGCTCTATCTAATTCCTCACCTCCTGCTGATTCTTCAGCACAGCAAAAATATCACCACCACTTCTCAGAAACTTTTTTTGAGTTCACGCATAAGCCCCAACTAAACTCAATATCTTTAAGATTTTTTTGTCCATCCCCTCCTCAACCATTAGAATTCAACTTCTTTCCATCTCTACTGCCAGCATCCTAGTCTGATCCAACATCATTTTTTAAAGAAAATTTTACCTTTGCCCTCTGATAATCTATTCTTTACAGCAGTCAGAATTTTTTTTAATGCAAAACTGTGTTTGTTGCCCACCACCTCCACCCTGGTCAAAACCCTTAGGTGGACCCACATTCCCCCGGGACCAAATCCAAATTTCTTATCACAGCTTCTAAAGTTCTCAATAATCTGGCTTCTATATATCTCTTCAGTCTCACCTTTTTGCATCCCTCCTCTCACTATTTCATTCAGTAATACATTCATTCATATACTCATTCGCTTACTTATAAATCAGTCATCAGTTTATTTATCCATTCATTTAATAAATGTTTACTTAGCATCTACTATGTGCTTACTCTTATACTGTACACCAGAGACAGAGAGATAATAAGACGTTTTTGCTCCCATGCAACTCCCAGTCTGCTTGTCTTTCAAGCCATGTTCTCCAGAAAGCCATAACTCATTTTCTCAGGTGGAAGTTATCCCTTACTCTTATAAAAAGGCCACAGTTCCTTGATGGCAGTGCAGTTAGTGGCAGGGGTTGGGGAGGTCCAGGAATCGACTCCCTCTACCAATTTCACATGCCCACCTGCCCCACCAGGATTGCCCAGTAAAAAGCTCTGCACTCTTCAAATCTTTCTGGACCTTAGCTTTCTCACTTGTATAGTAAAGCAGATGAATTCCATGATCACTAACAGACCTGCCAGCTCTGACATGCCATGAGCTTGTGATTCCAACAGTAAAAGCCTGATAAATATCCATCCCTGTAACCACAAGCAGATGGAACCACAAGCTACCTGGAACGGATGGAATTTCATCTAGACTAGGAAGAATCTAGCATCAGTCCAAGCCAACAAGCATTCCCTGGAGTAATCCCTTTTCCAAGTCTTGATCCTATATGTTGAGGAGAAGGAAAACAGGTCCTGTCCTCAAAGAACTCTGAAGTTTCTTGGGAAATTAAATGTTCTTCCATCCTAAGGCAGTCAGAGGCTAGACCAGGGTTACAAATGACCGGAGGGAAGGATGTAGGGGTTAGAATTTGGGAACAGTGAAGACCTTCTAAGGGAGAAAGAAGTGTCACAAACATTCCCAGAGAAGGAAGAAGCAGAGCAAGGTCTTCGAAGAGAAGAAAGGGTTGGCCCTTTTCTTTGCCAGGTCAAACCTGAAGGTTGAAGTGGGAGTACTGGGACAGAAGCTTAAGGATTATGTATCTGCTTCCTCAGGGTGCGAGATTTACTCAGACGCAGGCAACCATGCTTCCATGATCCAAGGTATCCGTAACAGTGGAGCAGCCAAGTTTGTCTTCAGGCACAATGACCCTGACCACCTAAAGAAACTTCTAGAGAAGTCCAACCCTAAGATACCCAAAATTGTGGCCTTTGAGACTGTCCACTCCATGGATGGTATGTATATGTGTGAGTGTATGTTTACTAGTGTTGGTCTCACAAAAATCATGATGATGATGATGATAACATTATAACAGCTAGTATTTATAGAGTGTTTATTATGTGCCACGCAAAATTATTAGTATTTTACATGTATTCACTTAATTTTCTGAACAATTCTATGAGATAGGTGTTATTATTATTTTGATTTTTTACATGAGGAAACTGAGACATAAGAGTAATTTGTCCAGGCCGGGTGTGGTGGCTCAAGCCTGTAATCCCAGCACTTTGGGAGGCTGAGACGGGCGGATCACGAGGTCAGGAGATCGAGACCATCCTGGCTAAAATACAAAAAAACTAGCCGGGCGAGGTGGCAGGTGCCTGTAGTCCCAGCTACTCAGGAGGCTGAGGCAAGAGAATGGCGTAAACCCGGGAGGCGGAGCTTGCAGTGAGCTGAGATCTGGCCAATGCACTTCAGCCTGGGCGACAAAGCGAGACTCCGTCTCAAAAAAAAAAAAAAAGAGTAATTTGTCCAAGGTCACACAGCTAGTAAATGCCAAAGAATGGAGACAGCTATTACATTCATCTAATAGGTAAAGAAACTAAAGTTCAGAGTTGGCATCCAATTCATCTTGAGTGGCTCAGCAAATTGGCGCTAAAGTATTTGCACCCTAACACATATAACTCCAATTCCTCAAGTAACACTTCTCTTGTTAGAAATGATATGTAAATCAATAATCCCAGTGTTTGGTTTTTATGAAGGAAATTCCAAAAACCATTGCCCAGGATTTTTTTCAAGGTCCAGTATGAAGCATTGGGGTCAAAACAGGTTTTCAAGTCAGAGAGACCTGGGTTCAAATCCCACCTTTGACAATTACTGGCTATGACCATGGATAACTCTTTAACTGTCTAAGCCTCAATTTTCCCAAAGGTAAAATATCTGGTTGTAAGAATTAGAGATGATAGAAACCATTCTAGTTATTATGCTTTTGTAGAAATAAATGATCTTCACACTCCTACCTCCTTTCTTTGCTCAATTGAAACAATGTCCAAAGCTTTCTATTACTGGCCCCATTATGTAGAAATCATGTGTTTTAGTTATCCCCTTATGGATTTATTTAAGGGAAGAGGTCAACTCATTTCAGTTTGTCCCTTTTCCAACTGAAACAAGAGTCCATAGTATTCCCTGATTTAGCTATCTTAAGTGGCATGTAATGACTATACACACAGGCTCTAAAACTAGACTATCCATGTTCAAATCCTAGTCTGACCATTTACTGGCTTGGGCAAGCTTCTTAATTGCTCTGTGTCTCAGTTCTCAGTTGCTTATTTGCAAAATGTAAGTGATAATAATTAAATATAAGTATGCAAATTAAATGAGTTAATATATGTAAGGAACTTACTATTATGCCCACTCCCACATTTCTAACACTAGCAATAAAGTAAAACTATCCTATTCCTTTTGTATATTTCTACCACTGAGACTATTCAAATTCATTATTTCTCTAGTGGAAACTATGTTGGTACCATTCTACCTCATTACATTTGCAAATAAATTGTTCTTTATTTACCTATTTTTGGGGTGCAAACTGCCCAAACTGTTGATCCTTAGGCTGAATCTCTCCCATTGAAATGATGCTTGAACCATCACACTGTCATTTGTCTCAGGTTCTACCTTCTGTAGTTGACTCCCCTCAGGTTGTCCTACCAATTGCTCACATTTTAAAATCCTGGCTTGGAATCCCTATTTCCACCTGAAGATGTTTTTTCTGTATTACAACTCCTTGTACCTCAGCAGTTTCCAGGGAGTACAGAGGGATACACACAGATTGCAGGAAAAGAAACAAAAGAGGCAGAGAGAGGCTGAACATGGCAGAAACAGGAAAATAGATATTGTCAGAATGAAGTAAAAATAGAAAGACAAAGAGTCAAACCTTGATCCCAGGCTGGGGAACATACACGCATGCACACGCACACACATACACACACACACACACACACACACATACAGAGAGAGAGAGAGAAAGAGAGAGAAGGCAGGGATGAGATACAGGCAATCAACCCATAAACAGAGGTTTGGAATAGTTGTAAATGAAGGTGCACATCCTCCTTCCTCTCTACAACACCCTTTTCCAACCCACAGTAGGCATCTCCACGCTGGAAATGGAGCTGGGGAAGGGTTATGATGTCCTACCTCTATCCCTTGACTTTGCTCAGGTGCCATCTGTCCCCTCGAGGAGTTGTGTGATGTGTCCCACCAGTATGGGGCCCTGACCTTCGTGGATGAGGTCCATGCTGTAGGACTGTATGGGTCCCGGGGCGCTGGGATTGGGGAGCGTGATGGAATTATGCATAAGATTGACATCATCTCTGGAACTCTTGGTAAGTGAATGTTTTGTGGGCCTTCTTATATACCCTGCAGAGATGAGGCCCCTACAAAATTCTCTTCTCCCTCCTCCCCAAAGCTATAGGGGTTGTTTGGACAGAATTCACAGCCCCAGGCCACTGCCCTCCTGGACTCCCTCTCTCCACTCGCATCCCACTGCAGAGTTGATGAGAAAGTCTAGGAGAGTTTTTTGAAAAGACCTTGAACTAGGCCAAATAGTTAGATTCAACTTGAGTATGTGAAGAGCTGTGTTTCTAAATCCCTCCCCCACCCCAGCCCCAAGCTTCATCTTAGCTCCACTCCTGACCCTATCCAGCTGAAGGTCCCCACCCAGCTCCTACCTATCTAGTCATTGCATATGGCGAGACTTGAAAGTCCTATCTCAAAGCAGCAGAATTATCAGCTCTGACTGCCCTGTCATGGACAGATGAGCAGAGGCCTGGGAAGACAGCCTGGAGCCCCATCTTCGGTGCACCCCCTTGGGTTATCTGGCACATGATCCTGTTCCTCTGGGACTGATTACGGGATCTGTGTATATCTTCTTACTTTCTGTCTCCAGGCAAGGCCTTTGGCTGTGTGGGTGGCTACATCGCCAGCACCCGTGACTTGGTGGACATGGTGCGCTCCTATGCTGCAGGCTTCATCTTTACCACTTCTCTGCCCCCCATGGTGCTCTCTGGAGCTCTAGAATCTGTGCGGCTGCTCAAGGGAGAGGAGGGCCAAGCCCTGAGGCGAGCCCACCAGCGCAACGTCAAGCACATGCGCCAGCTACTTATGGACAGGGGCCTTCCTGTCATCCCCTGCCCCAGCCACATCATCCCCATCCGGGTGAGAGCCCCACCCTGCCCATTGCCCTCTCTACCTATTTCTTCTGGGAGCCTCCCCACTCCCAACACACCTGTTTCTGTCTTCAATTACTTGCTTTCCTGCTAACCATTCCCCTTATTGCCAGCTTTGTTTCCCTTTTTGAAAAATTATCAGCCATTTTGGATTAACCAGTCTTTTCCTTGCATCAGCCATTACCTCATGCTTATTAGATTATCCTAACCCTAACAATAGCGAGTGTTCACAGCCTAAAATTCAGAGTTTTTCAAACTGAATCAAGACAATTAATGGGTCACAAAATCAGCTTAGTGGGTTATCATTAGCATTAAAAAAAAAAAGAAAAGAAATAGAATAGAAAATGTTGGAGTACGGCACACATACTAAGGCTATCAATTTGTGAAAAATTTGTATTCGTTTTGTGTACGTGCATATATACATGTATGTGTATGTGTGCGTTTATGATCATGGTGTAAAATGTACTTCTTATTGAGAATTGAGGGCAGAAAAATAAAATCAAAAGCCATAGTACTAGCTGCTACTTTGGATCCTCAATATAAGCGTTTACTGCCTTTAAAAATGAACTGCTACTTCTTTCTTAAATGACATGTATTCGTGTGAGTCAGTAAGCCAGGGCAGGGAAAGGACACTTATTTGTGACAATTTTGTGGATGAGAAATAGTCACTGCTTTTTAGATTAACCTAGTATTTCCTTTAAACACTCATTTTATGAATTAATTTAGTGACAGCACCCCATAATTGGCTTGGGGGGTTCTGGAATTGGCTTGTGGGGGGCATCTTCTCACCCAGAACCATCCTAAACTAGGATATTAGCTAAGTAAAATCAGTGTGCTTGCTCTGCAAACAGCTTCCAAATAGGGCTCCTGGTACCACCACTGCTCCATCCTTTTCAAATCAAATTGCTAGCTCTGAGCTCCTCCTTGATAGAAATTCTGGAGCTGCCACTAAGCCCCTAATGAAAAAAAAAAAATCTATCCCAAAATTCAGTGATGTTCCCTGATCTAGTTCCCTCCATCTGCTTAATGGATGGTGGAGCCAGGGTGGCAAGTACTGATAAGCCTTTCTCCTGAGTCCAGGTGGGCAATGCAGCACTCAACAGCAAGCTCTGTGATCTCCTGCTCTCCAAGCATGGCATCTATGTGCAGGCCATCAACTACCCAACTGTCCCCCGGGGTGAAGAGCTCCTGCGCCTGGCACCCTCCCCCCACCACAGCCCTCAGATGATGGAAGATTGTGTGGGTAAGTTCTCAACATGGGTGCCTACAGGACCTCCCTCCCCTCAGCCCCAGGATCTGAAAGAGAAGCTGAGAGGACAGAGACCATTCAGTTTACAAAATATTTCTGGAACATCTAATGTGTGCCAGCACCTATACTAGGGTCACAAATAAATGAGAAGCAGCCCCTACACTCGTAGGGCTCCAGTTTGGTTGGGGATACCATAGTGGACACAAACAATGACATTAAGGGATGATCAAAATTCCACAAGGCAGTGCATGGTAGAGTTGTTGGAGCAGAGAGGAGGGGCCTGACTCTGCTTGAGGGATCCAAGACAGGCTTCCTAGTAGAGGTGACACCTGAGCTGAGTCTTGCAAAGTGAGTGGTATTAAAACAAAGAGGGCATGGAAGAAGTATTCTTAGCAGAGGGAAGAGCATGAAGAAAGGTGAGGAGAATGAGAAGCAGCCAGGGATATATCAAGAACAATAAGCAGGTGGTATTGGAATGTAGGGTCATAGGAATGGAGTGGGGCAGGGGAGTATCAATCTATAAGTCTACAAAGACAATACGAGATAGGGACTGAATTGAGAGGCTTGTAGAGCTGAGTAGTTTGAGATTTAGCCTGAAAATGCCAGTTTAGTCAGTTCACCTAATGTTTGCTGGATTTCTTTTGGGTAGTTTTGTTTTGTTTTGTTTTGTTTTGTTTTTTGTTTTTTGTTTTTTGTTTTTTTGAGACAGAGTCTGGCTCTGTAGCCCAGGTTGGAGTACAGTGACATGATCTTGGCTCACTGCTACCTCTGCCTCCCGGGTCCTGGTTCAAGTAATTCTCCTGCCTCAGCCTCCCAAGTGGCTGGGATTATAGGCACGTGCCACCATGCCCAGCTAATTTTTGTATTTTTAGTAGAGATGGGGTTTCACCATGTTGGCCAGGCTGGTCTTGAACTCCTGACCTCATAATCCACCTGCCTAGGCCTCCCAAAGTGCTGGGATTACAGGTGTGAGCCACCAGGCCCGGCCTGGGTAGTTTGTAATGCAGGGCCTGACGTTGAGCAGGTGCTCATTCTAGGCCTGTTGGACGAAAGACATGTAGGCAGTTGATGGTCTAGCAGAGGAGCCAGATATAGATGGTACTGGTCCAGTATGACGAGCTCCACTATTCTGGGAGCTAGAGGGAGTGAGCACATTATGGCTAGAGAGGGTGAGAAGGATGAAATTGGAGAGGCTTTGTGAGTAAGGAAGTTTTTATGATGCATGTTGAAGTACATGTGAATATGTTGTAAGAATATTCCAGAATAAGGGAATTCCATGAGCAATGACCTAGAGATAGGAAAGCAGGGGGTATGTATTGACAACATCATTCTGTTTGTCTGAAGCATGGGCAGTATCAGAATTCACGGAAGACAAGCTAGGTAGGGGCCATTCATTCATTCATTCATTCAAAAACATTAAATAATGCTGGCTAACATTAAGTACTTACCATGTGCCAAGCACTGTTCTAAACACTTTACACATATTAACTCATCTAATCCCCACAGCAACCTCAAGAGTTAGAGATCCTCTTATCATTTCCATTTTGTACATGTGGAAGTTGAGGCACAAAAATATATAGTCGCTGATCCAATGTCACACACCTTCTAAGTTGCAACTGGGAGGTCTTTCTCTACCTCCATGGTCATAACTGCTAGGTCTACCACCTCTCTGAGCTGATGACCCAGACTCCTGGGCCTTTTGTTCAGTATTCTCTATTGGTCCGGGCTTCAATTATAGAGCTCAGTATTCTTGGTTCTCTGAATGTCCACTTAGGCTAGGCTTTTGTAAGAATATATGAGAGGCATCCACAATGGCTCCACCAGTCCCTAAGTTCCACAGCCAATCCATCCTGAAATCCTGCAAAAGTTCTCTATAATCTCTCTCAAACCTATTTGCTTTTCTCCCTTGCCACTTCTTCAATCCATGTCAACATGATTTTTTCCTAATTTCTCTGCTTCTCTCTTGCTCCTCTCAAATCCTTTCTCGATGCTGACCACCAGAGGGATTTTTCTAAAAACCTGACTATATTGCTCCCTTGCTTAAACCCCTTCATGTTTCCCTCTAGACTCTAAAGCAGTGGCCTCCAAGGTGAGGTATGCAAAATGGTTACAGGGTGAAGGAGCAGAATATGTATTAGAATTTTATGTTTTTTTAATCTTAAAAATAGGAAATCAAGCATTACTGATACTGATCTTTAATATACAGACTGACAATTATACATATATATAATACATAAACAAATATACAGATATTAGAGGTACATGCTAAAACATTTGTACTGATAGCGATGTATAGTCCAAAATTTGGAAACCATTGACATACAGGACAGAGTTGAAGCTCTTCAGCATAGCATTTAATGCCTTCCACATGGTGATCTCTATGCCCTCACCTCCTCCCCACATGCATTTTATTTTTTCAGCTACACTGAATGACTTGTCGTTCCCTCATTTTTCTCTGCTCTCTTACCTCTGGGACTTTGCTCGTGCTGCTCTCTTTTGATTGGAATGCCCTCCCTCACACTTTCCTCTGGCTTACTTTCCTTCATCTTCTAGACTTAACTTAGGCATTCTTTCAACAAATATTTATTGAGTACCAACTGTGTGCTAGACACTGTTCTAGGCACTGAGGATGCAGTAGCAAACAAATCAGACACAAAATTCCTACCCTCTGGAGCTTACATTCTAGTGGAAGGGGATAGTAAAAAAATTTACTAAAAATAAGCAAATTAAATAGCACGTTAGTCCTAAGTGCTATGGGGAAAAATAAAGCAGGATAAGGAGAATGGGATAAGGGGGCAGGGGCGAGTTCAGAGAAGGGTCGTAGTATTAGAGTGGCAAGGGTAGAAGACGCTGAGGTGAAACTTGAGCAAAGATTTGAAGGAGGTGGAGTTAGTGAGGCAGATATCTAAGGGAATGACATCCCGGGCAGAGGGAACATCCTGAGGCAGGGAAGACACAGGAATATTCCTTTTATATTTGAGGAACAGTAAGAAGATGGGTATGGGTGGAATGGTATAAGTGGGAGACAGAAAAATTGAGTACACAGAGGCAATGTGGGACCAGATTGTATAGGGTATGGTAGGTCATCAGAAGGATTTTGGCTTTTACTCTGAGAACCCTTGAAAGGATTTGAGCACAGGACTGATATATCTGACTCAGGTTTTAACAAAATTGCTCCAACTTCTATGTAGAGAATACACTAAAAGGGAGCAAGGCTGGAAGCAGGGAGACCCAAGAGTGGGCTACAGTAATATCCCAGGTGAGAGATGATGGTAGCTCAGACTTGATCATAATGAAGGCAATAAGAAGTGGTCAGAGTTTGAAGGTAGAGCCAATGGTCTTTGCTGTTAGATGGGATATAGAGTAAGAGAGAAAGAGAAAAATAAAGGATAATTCCAAAATTTTTGAACTGAAAAATAAAGGATAATTCCAAAATTTTTGAACTGAGCAACTGGAATTGCCATCCACTGAGATGGGAAAAGTTGAAAGTAGAATAGCTTGGTGGAAAGTAGGGACATGAGTAGCTCAGTTGTACTTATAAGTTAGAAATGCATACTAGACATCTAGGTGGAGATGGAGAAAAGCCATTGATATACAAGATTGGAAACCAGTAGAGAGGCGTGAGCTGGAGATTAAAATTTCTGAACCATCAGCATATAGGTGGTCTTTAAAGTCATGTGACTAGACAAGATCAACAAGGGCATGAACACAGAAAAGGCCAAGAACAGAGCCCCGGAACATACCTGGGGTACTTCCTCCAGCTAGGTCAGGTTCCCATCTCTGGGTTTTCACATCCCCAGGTGGACCCCCTACCCCAGGTTTCCTGGTCATAGCACCAATGACACAGTATGGTTACTGTCATTATCACTGTCCTCATAGGGCTTGGAGTTCCCAAGCAGATAGTCATTCTTGGGCCACAGCACATCCTATACCTAGGGAGTGGTCCAGGCCAGGACAGTATGGCTTCAAATTGTGTCAAAGGAGAGCTTCCCAACCTTTTATTATATCCCAGCATCCAGATACAAATGGTAATACTCACGGCACACACAGGAGCAAACAGAGTAGGCTACTTCTGGCCCTGAGGTATCTTGAAGGGTTGAGGGGGATCAATATCTTGGTGCATCTGTACTAGATTTGGAAGATCTAGTCTAACTCATTCTTTCCCTTCCCTCCCCCAACCACCTTCAGAGAAGCTGCTGCTGGCTTGGACTGAGGTGGGGATGCCCCTCCAGGATGTGTCTGTGGCTGCCTGCAATTTCTGTCGCCGTCCTGTACACTTCGAGCTCATGAGTGAGTGGGAACGTTCCTACTTCGGGAATATGGGGCCCCAGTATGTCACCACCTATGCCTGAGAAGCCAACTGCCTAGGATTCACACCCCACCTGCACTTCACTTGGGTCCAGGCCTCCTCTGTCTTCTGCTTTGTTGTGTGCCTCTAGCTGAATTGAGCCTAAAAATAAAGCACAAACTGCAGCATGTGTAGCCTTTTATTGGACAGGAAACAGACAAATGCACTCTACCTGACTCCCTCAGACAAGTGGCAGATCTGAGGAAACCATAGGTCACTTGTTGGTCACCATTCCATTTTACCAACAGGAAAACAGAATGAGAAAGAGGAAGGAAACGCCCAAAAACTACACAGTGAGTTGCACAGAGCCGGGATACTAAGCAGATTTATTTGAAATGGCTCTTCTCCAATGGTTTCAATAAAAATCCGGGGATTGACTCTTCACTGGTAATCTGGGCCCTGGAAATCTGGGCCCAGGGTAGCCCCTGAAGCCAGGAGATGAGTCAGCCCTAACCAAATTCCCTAGAAAGGAGTGGTTCCCCAAAAACAGAGGTATTTTCCAGAAGGGGATATGGATGTCTTCCTCAATCCATTATCCTCTCTCCCTCCCACGGCATCCCACAGAACAGGATTTACCAGTCCTTTTTTTTTTTTTTTTTTTTTTTTTGAGACGTCATTTTGCTGGTTGCCCAGGCTGGAGTGCAACAACACGATCTCAGCTCACTGCAACCTCCGCCTCACAGGTACAAGCTATTCTCCTGTTTCAGTCTCCTAAGTAGCTTGGATTACAGGCACGTGCCACCACACCTAGCTAATTTTTTTGTATTTAGTAGAGACAGGGTTTCACCATGTTAGGCTGGTTGTGAACTCCTGACTTAAGGCGATCCACCCACCTCGGCCTCCCAAAGTGCTGGGATTACAGGCGTGTGCCACTGCGCCCAGTCTACCAGTCCCATTTTCACAAGTGAGAAGAGGCTTGGCTAGAGCAAGCACTGTGTTCAAAGCAATGCTTCCACTTTCCAGGTCACAGTATACGGGAAACATTTCCATGGCACACTTAGGGGCACTAATGATACTACTTGCTAAGCAGGTGATCTTCCCTGAGACTTGTGTGATCTCAGGCCCTGCCTGGCAATGCTGAGGGCTGAGGACCCTATTTCTTTCAACTCTGTAACCCACTGGGGCAGCTGTGGGGCACACTAGTTGGGAAGCTCTGGTTTAAGGCTACATAGCCCACCTCCCTTGCTGATTTAACCGCAGCAGTACAGTAAACTCCTACAACTAAGCAGAGAACTCTTTATGGTGAGCACTGCTCCTCACTCCTCACTATTCCCTCCTCCCTCCTCCCCTATCCCTGGGAATTATATTATTGGGCTACAGCCAGCTGGCAAACCCAGTATTGAGATAGCTTCTTTGACTCAACTTTATGGAGTACATTCACAATGTCCACTCAAAGTGAAACCCTGAAACAAATACACAGACTTTATTTATGCACAAATACATTTTCCAGCAAAGACAGGAGTGATTTAAAATCACACAACTTCCCGGGGCAGCCAGTGTCCGTGTACTTCAGACAGGAAGGTGGAAAGTGGTGTAGCGGGCTGGGTCACAGCATTAAGGTGCAAAAAGCTCACCAACAAGGAGCTAGGTAGGAAGGTCAGTGAGGAAGAGAGGGCTAAGAAGAGGAAGAGAAGGGTAGGAGACTTTCGGGGAGAAGCAGGAGGCAGCTCAGGGAAGGGGAGCTGGCCTCAGATCACGTGCAGGGGTGACTATGCCAGACGTCCCCAGGCCTCCATTGGTTCAGCTGGGCCTGCTCCAGAGGAAGAAGTTGCACCGGGAGGAGGGGTCAGTGGGAGGACCCCGGGGCCTGGCACACATATAGAAGCGGCGGCCCAGGTTGGGTCCTGGCTTCTTCACAGTACGCATCACACATGGCTCCCTGTGGCCCCCACAGAGGGGTGTGCGCAAGGGCCCCGCCAGCACAGACTTCCAGAATGAGGTCCGTACCTCCTTCTCATCTTTGGCTTCTGAAGCCTTGGCCCGCCCCTTCACCACTTTGGCCACTGCCTCCTCTTCTGGAGTCTTCGGGGTCATGAGGGCGCTCATCAGTGGTGGGCTAGGCAGTTCTATGTCAGGAGAGGCTTGGGGACAGTTAGGGGAGGGCTGAAAGTAGCTCTTCAGGTTTTTCTGGCCTCTGCCAGAGCCAGCCTGGCTAGGCCGAGGCCTGGTTGAGTGCACTTGGGCTTTGTTTTGGCACGTCTGTACCCGGGTTTGATTGTTGTGCTGCAGCGCCGACTGCTCCAACAGAGGACTTTGTTCGAGAGGAACTAGGAAGCGAAGGATCTTGAGCTGGGTGCCTGCAAACTCAGGGAGGAAGCGGGTGCACAGAGGTGGGCACTGTTTTGCGGGTACAGAGGACACGCTCAAGACTGCACCCACAGGGCAGTGGTCAGAGCCCATCACCTCAGGCAGCAGGAAAGAGGCCTGAAAGGTGTCTATGACCAGGGTCCTATCCCCTAGCACATAGTCAAGCCGGGAGCCATAGTTGAGATGGCGGGCGCCGGTCACTGCTGACCAGCAGGTGAAGGCCCCCTCCTGCTTTGGTTGGAAGCAGCGGTAGCTATCGATGAAGGGCCCTACATGAGAGGCAGACTGGCACCCCAAGTTACTGAGCAAGCTGTCCATCCACTTGCGCCCTGGGTCCTCTTCAAAGCATTCCTAGGTGAGGAGGAAAGGGGGTTGGAAGAGAGAGAGACAGAACTAGATACCTAGAACTGGAAGGGACTTAGACTAACTGCTGCATTTTGCAAATAAGAAAATTTGGTTGTCCCAAGAGGACTACTGCTGAAGGTCACACAGTCCAGAATTAGCAGAGCTGGGATTCTGATTTTCATCCTTACTGATTTAAAAGACCACGCTTGTTTTTCCCTCTGCACAAGCTTGCATTTATCTTGCATTGGTCCATCAATGGCAAATCTGAAAGTTTGTTTAATCAGAGCAATTCCCAGAACTGCTTTTTAAAACGATGGAAAACAGGAAGTTAAAAAAGTGTTTGCCTCTAGGAAGTAGGGCTGGGGTTAAGAGTTAGGAAGACTGTCAGCTTCTTCCTTTAAACCCTCTGGCACTATTTGGTTTATCTACTGTGTCAAAGCCCTCAATGACCATTCCTACCTTCTGAGCTGAGGACCTGCAAGGATCCAGGTCTGAATACTTCCTTAGGTTCTGATCCCCAATCCATCATCCATCAGTCCATCCATTCACTCCACCTAACCACCCACTCATTCAATGCAAGGAATGTTCATGGAATACCTATTATGTGCCAAGCATGATGCCAGGGACAAAGTAGGAACCTGATCTACTCCTGGGGACCAAGGAGGCTTCCTTTCGAGAAGTGATCTGGAGGGGAGGTGTGCGGGCTGAGCAAGAGTAACCTAGGTGGAGGGTGCTCCTAACTTTAAGAACAGTCTCGGTGCTGGGCCTGTGGAGGGAGTGTGCTGCATACCCAAAAGACTTGAGGAAAGACCAGACTTGAGACCAGAATACCAGCAGGAAATGGCTGCCATAGTCACACAAGCAAGATGATGGTCACTTGGGCTAGGGTGGGTGCCAGAGGAGACAGAAACATGAAATTATGAGATGATTTGTAGCTAGAATCAACAGTACTTGCAGACTAACTGAATGTGGGAAGTGGAGTAAGAAAGACAGACAATACTAGCACAATTCCCAGGCTTTAAGTTGAAGCAACCAAGGGGATGATGGTGCCATTTAGAGAAATGACAAGACTAAAAGAGCAAGCCTGGTGCAAAGTGGATATGTTCTGCTATTTTGGAAAGACTGTAAGTCATCTTAGCTGGCATTATTAGTTCTCTTTCCCTGGAGGAGAAAATGAAGGAGGTATACATGAGAGATCTAGGCTACCTCTGAACTAAGTAGAGAAGGCATAAAGGTGTATGATGCTATCACAGGAATCTGAAAGAACACACTGAATGAATGTGTAAAAGGAATGAGGCAGGGAGGGACTGAAGGCTCGCACTTTGTAGCATTCTCTCCGCTCCCCACCACAACACCACCACCATTCTCTCGCTTCTGCTCATTTCCCAGCTGGGAGCCATATCTACATTTATGTAGCTCTTCTGCAAATTAATCAAGGAATATTCCCACGGTCCTTCTCTAAGCCAAGCCCAGTGCTGAGTGGGACTGTGCCAACATCAATCACTGATCCCCCATCATGAGACATAAGGCAAGCCAAGATGAGAGTTGGCTTGTAGATTCTAGGGCAGTGGTTCTCAAGCCTGGCTGCATGATAAAGTCACACTGGGGGCTTTTAGAACGTGCCACTACCCTGGCCCCACACCCAAGAGTTCTGAGTTCATTAGTCTGCAGTAGTGCTAAGATATTGATATTTTTGTTCTAATATGCAGTTAGGGGCTGAAAACCATGGGCCTAGGGGCACTTAGAGATAAGAGGTTCATATAACAAAAAGACAGAGAGGGGGGTCATGTCCACCAATTCAGGGCACAGTGAAAAAAGCCAGAATGAGAATAACTTTTACAACAGGCCGACAGGAGACAACCTGTCTAGAGAGGACAAAATGTGTAGGGACACTGAAGGTGGAAATAGAGACAGGTCGCAGTCCATGGAGAGCCTTGAATGCTAGGTCTCGATGTTTTCTCTGCATCACAGAGGTAACCAAGAGGTATTGAAAGTTCATAAACAAGAAACACAGTGTATTAAGGAAATGACCATGGCAATGTGGAATTCACAGTCCTTGAAAACATCTGACCTCCAACAACTCTCCAGCCCCACCTTCTGCCACTCACCTCCCTTCCCGTATCACTGAGAAGAAAGGGACTTGTGGTTCCCCATGCACACAATGCAAATTCTCACCTTGAAACCTTTGCCCATGCTAAAATGCTTCGCTACTTCAAAGCTGTTCTACTTGTCTGTTAAGATTCAGCCATTTTCAGCTGCCTGTCCTGATGTCTGAGCTCACCTAGGACTCCCATCTCTGAGTTCCCGTAGCCTTCTGGGATGCCATCTGTGTCTCTGCTCTGAGAATACCATCCTATAATTGGCCAGCCATGCGTCTGTAGCCCACCACCATGCTGGAGAGCTCCTAGGAGCCAAGAGTTGGATCTGACTCCTGAGTCCTCAGTATGTGGCAGAGTCAGTATTGTCTATTGAATGAATGACCAATCCTCAGTACTATAAGAATAGTATTGCAAACCAAGCTCCACTTTCCCATAAAGGAAGCTGTCCCTGGGCCAAAAACTCAGCATTGGTTGGCTGGACAAACAGAATCAGTCAAGTGGGGCCAGGCACCTAGAGGTAGCCTTACCAGGTTGACTGCGTCCCAGTGGTCAATGGGGCGGTGGGCTGTATTCAGGTCACCCAGAATGATCACATGGCTGAAAAACACAATATGGGATTGTTAGAAAGGGGTGCAGCAGTCCTGGCTTGTATACTTTTTCCTGGGCCCAAGAGCTCAGACAGGCCACCTCCCATATTGAGGCTTCCTAGCCAACAGCAACTCATAGCAGCCTACCTCTCCAATCTTACCACAACCTTGCTGCCTTTCATATCTGACCAACCCAATTCTGATCTCCAAAGGTGACAGTGCTCCATGTTTGACATGACTGCCTCACTGATCAGTACCTAATGGGCATTTTTCTTGTCCTTCAATCAAGGGGAGGTGAGCTCAAATACCACCTCCCCTTGATTGCTCTAACCCACCCTCACTTGCCTGTCCTTCCCTGGAACAAGACTTTCCTTTGCTTCCAGGAACTTTATCATTCTCATCTCATTTCACCCTTAAAACTATTCTGTGGGGTACAAACAATATCCCTTTGTCTCTGAGTTCTTTGGAAAGGTTCCATATCCCTTTCAATGGAGCTTCACACAGGGCTGGGCACCCAGGACCGACTCAAGGAAGCCTTGCTGCCTAGGCTTGCAGTACCTGCCTGCCGCCAGGAGGGCTTCTGCTCGGATTTGCAGCAAACGATAGAAGCGCATCTTAAAGACTAGCCGCTCAGGTCTCCCAGGGTCCGCATGGGGGCAGTACACGTTGATTAGGGTCAAGATCCTCTCCTTCCCTTCCCACGTGCTGGAGAAAAGAGAAACCTTCAAAAGGGGTCAGTTTCAAACCTCCCCTTCTGTCCCTTCCCCATACCACATGGCTTCCATTTGGTGACTGTCTGGGATGGAAAAGAAAGGGGTTAAAGAGACACAAATGAGCTGGCATGCACGGGACTTGGGGACTGACTACTGGTAAGGCAGGGAGACGGACATCTAAGGATGACCACCAGGTAATGGCGCTGCTATTCACAAAGAGAACACCCAGAAAGAGAGAAACCTGGGGCAGTGAATTCAGCACTAAGTTGCTTTTGAGATGTCTATGGTAATAAGGGCTGGATCACCAGGCCAGCCCCGCACTGTAGAGATGGAAATTCAAGCCTCAGAGGGGGAAAAATTTGCCAGGGTCACACACTGAGCAGCCCAGCCAGCACTAAATCAGGAAAGGCAAATTTGGGAACTTCACCACGGTGCATGTATGTTTACAGGGCAAGCCTCAGAATCTTCACACTCAAAGAGTAGCACCAGCAGTGCTCAGTAGCAGGGAGATATGAGCTATTACCGGATCTTATGCTGTGTGAGGAGGGCCCGGCCCTCACTATCCAGAGCCCGGAGTTCCTCTTGGGTAAACTCATCCATGTTTCCATAGCAACCAACATTCCCATTCTGGGTGGCAAACAGGCCACTCAGGCCTTCTTCAGCAGCCACTGGGGTAGCGTTGTCCTTACAGAAGGTGGCTACACCTGGGAACAGACAGGGTACTCTGAGCAGACCTGGCAGTCAATAGCCTGTTGCACAGCCTGTCCCACTCCAATTGTCCCCACACAGGTCACCTAAGTCATCTTCATAAAGTGTGGTTCTTGGGGAACCTTATTCAAACCCTGGAGTCTCAGTTCCTGCATCTAAAAAAGCCACAGAATGTTCTAAGTGTTTTACATTGATACATGGTGAGTGCTCGAGAAGTATTAGCAATTATTACTATCACATGGATTAATTAATTTAATCCTCGTAACAGCCCTAGAAGGTAAACATTATCCTCATTTTCTAGCTGAGGAACCTGAGGCACCAAGAGGTAATGTAACTTGCCAGAGGGTGCACAGCTAGGAAATGAGCCACAATTCAAACCCTGGGCTTCTGGCTCCACAGTTCACACAATTAAGCACCACACTACTACTGTACTTCTGAGGTCCAGTAGGATAATTCTATCCATAAAAATTATATTTCACGTAATTTACTATTATGCAGCTTTAGCTCTGTAAACTAAATTTCTAAATTTCTTATTACCCTCTCATCAAATACTGGAAACCCTTTTCCCCATCTGCCTCCATCACTAATTTAAAGTCCACAGAAAGCCCCATTTACCAGAATAGCCGCTACGGTTGCGGCTGAAGCTGAAATAGGAGTTATAACCCTCAACGATAGCCAGGGGCTCTGTCAGTGCATCCCCTAAGGAAAAAAAAAAATGTAAGATTAAGTCAGAGGTAAAACTAGCATCCGAGAAACACAAAGGCCTGGAATTACAGTTGTAGGCTAATTCCTTGCACACATCAGAGCCGGAGTTGGGGGTGACGGGAATGAACTATCTATGAGTAGAGGAAGACCTAGAAAGATGAGAAATGTCAGAGAGGAAATTGATATCAGAATTAGAAGGCTGGCGGGGGTGGTTAGAGACTATGAAGTGGAGGTGGAGAATTAGGTGGGAGAGGGAAAGAATCAGAGCTAAGCCTGGGGGTCTGGACGATGGGAGGGAGCTGGGGGTGGGGATGGACATATGAGAGGACAGTGGGAATCTGAGCTAAGGGTGAGAGGTAAGAGAGAGGGAATTAAGGGATCTGAACTGGGGATGGAAGGAAAAGGAATTAGGGGATTCTGAGGGGAGATAGAAGGGTGAAGAAATAAGAGGACATCTAAGCTTGGCGTGGGAAATAAGGTGGGAATTAGGGACTTTCAGCTGGGAGGAGAGATGGGGATAGATAAGGGGTACGGGGTTCTGAGGTGGAGGTGTGAAAAGGAGGCAATTAGAAAGACTGAGCTGGGGTCAAAGGTGGGGTGGGAATTAGAGGATCTGAGCTTGGGGCAAGGATGAAGAATTCGGAGGTTTGACTTGGTGGCGGGGAGATGGACAGCGTATGGAAGGAGGAAATTCAGGGGACTGAGTTTGGGGCCAGAGAATGAGTGGGAATCTGACTAGATATGGGGTTTCCAGAAGGAGCTAGTTTGCCGAAGACAGGAAATGGAGTGCAACTGGGGATCTAGCTAGGGTGGGAAATGGGAGTTTAAGAGGGAAGAGACCTGGGTCTAAGGGCAGGACTCTAAGAATAGGAAACTGGGAAAGTAAAATTACATGGGACAGGGGGCAAAAGTTAGCGGGAAAGAAAAAGTATGCAGGGATCCTGGAATCCAGAGCGCTCACTGGTCACTTTGGTTTCCTGGAGACAGACGATATCGGCATCCAGCTCCTCCAAAATGCGCCCCACGGCCACGGCGGCACAGTTGCTGGGTTCCTGATTTGCCACCCCTTGCACGGGTCTCCGAATCCCATTGATGTTCCAGCTCACCACGCGCAACATCTTAACTGCCTGGAACACCTCCCAGCCCGCGCCAAACTAGGCGCGAGCGAACAGCTAGCTCGCTGTTCCGAAGTTGGCCAGGCCCGCCTCCCGCGTGCGTTTGCGCAGGCGCTCTCGTGCGTACCACAAAAGCGCCTGACGCACGTCGGGCGGGGGCTTCAACTTCCTCAGTTCTCATTGGCGGGAGGAAGAACTGGGTGGACGCTGAAAGAAGCAGAGCGGAAGCCTAGGGGCAATGAATGGCGAGAGGAGTTTCCAGTTCGGCTCCCGCGCCTTCCGCTGGGACACCTGAGTCTCAGTACGTTTTTCCTCTACTCAGAAGTCCACGTGGTGCGTCCGGTTACTTACAAACGGGATTTTGCCACTTTGTAGGCGACCCTGAGCGGAACTGCTCAGCAGCCAAAGCCCCGCCCTCAGTGCGACGGACCGCCCACCTAAGTGCACAGATGGCTGCCGCGCTTGCGCCCCAGGAGTAGCTGGCGCGAAGTGCTCGCGTTGGACCGGGCAAAGGGAGGTTCGTGGTTGGAGGAGGGAGCAGTAAGAGTCTCTCCACTGAGATAAGACTTAGGAGGAGGGCCTTTGGCTTTATTGGGGCAGAGGGGAGGAGGAGGAGGCTGTCTCAAGCCTGTCCTGTAGCTTTTATTTGTCTTGGCTCTTAACATCCCGAAGGATGTAGCCGGGCACATCCTTACTCTTGGTTCTGTTTCTCAGATAAGTGAAATCGAGGCCCAGGAAATGTAAGCTCGTGAGCAGCACTGTCTCCGGATGCATCCATGGCTCTTCTGTATATGTTATCGCATTTAATTCTCAAGACAGCCCTGTTTGGGGCATTGAGTCTAAGTTAGAGACGTCGAGTGAATTCACTTCATTCTCACAGTTCAGTCTCTCTTACACTGAAGTAGTAGAGCCAGGATTCAAACCTTATGTTAATTAGCTCAAGGATTACTTTTCTGAGTGTTTTTACTGACCACACACCACCCCAGTTAAGTCTTTTCCTCTGGGGCCCCACGGCACCCTATGGTCCATTCTGTCACAGTACTTATAATACACAGCTGTCATTGACTTCTATTTCTGCTGCCACTAGACTGCCAGCAGCTTGAGAACAATGACCATGTCTGGTTCATCTTGTTAGCCCATCCCCTAATACTGGACACAGTATATATTGGGAAGCAATAGATACTTGTCAGGTGAATGAATGAACAAAGAATAATAGCAAGAGCATCAACAGGTTCATGGCTTGTTTTTGAGAGCACAAAAAATAGAAATAATGGATATGCCCAATGTCCAGGGAAAAGCATAACGATGCATCTTTAGGTTCCTCACCCAGAATTGCAGCATAATTATTTTTCCCCCAGAATTTAAGCGTTAGAGCCATCGTCCTCAATGGGTACAGCAAAGACGCAGTAAACTGCTTTTCCTCCTGGAGGACTTAAATTTACCAGTTGTTGCTATCAGAAAATAGCTCTGTGATTAAAATAAAATTTGTGTGTCCTAAGCTTTTTCATGCTTTGGGGGTTGTTGACTCAGGATTGACTCCCATGAATGTGACAACTAGGACAAAGGAAATGAACATTTTTATTGCTCTTGCTTCATATTGTCAGATTGCTTTCCAGTAAGAGATTATGCCCATTTACACTGAAGACCAATCTGAAACTCAGCCCCAGCAAAATCCAGAACTTGCCTGTCTCCATAGCTGGTTTTAATTTCCCTATTCTGCAATGGCTTGTTAATATTAGTTCTGACCTTTGGGGCAAGGTGAACACACGATTGGACTGAAGAGAAAAGGCTTCGGGTGGCTCAGGAACTTCTTTGGCAACTACAACAGCTAATATTTCAACAGAGCACATACACTCCCCCCACTTAACAAGGGTACATCCTCAGCCTTCTCAGGGAACCAACGAACACCTCCAGGCTTCCTCTTTGATGCCACCCACTGGACCTGCCTTAGGGGTCTGTAAATGCAAGACAACCGAGTGTTGGATAATTAGCAATGGAAGAAAAAACCTCTAGAATAAAAGGTAGGTGAGAAAGAAGGGAACGTAGGCAGGAGTTACACAAATCCACATCCATTCTTCAGGCCCTCTGGAAAGTTTTCTTTGCGTAGATGGTTGGTTGACGTGTGCATTAAAGGGCATGGGAAAGTGGGGGAAAAGATTATATGTAACCTATTTATATATCTGTATATTTTTAAAAATCCATTCTGGCCTTTGTGGGACCCTGGCCCCCAGGGCAATTCCCTAGCACCTGTGAAAGTCTCTCTAACTTGTTCTGGTCTGGTTTTGAATGAACTGAGTGATTGAGATTATAGCTCTTACCTCCCCACTGATGTGTAAAGTAGGGTTGATTTGCTGTGGCGCTTTGAACAAACTCTCTAGCTTCTCTGGGCATCAGTAGCCTCCTCAGTAAAATGGAAATCAGAGTCTCTAGCCAATGTTCCTCAGAGGGCTGTCACGATCAAGAAGGGTGGAAAGGCAGAAACCAAAGCTCTTTGGAGACATTTCGGGACTTCCTCGCTCTAAGAGTAGTGATCTTGCTTTTTTATATAGGCTCCACAAGCAATCCCACCCAAAACCCTCCAGCTGCTCTTCTCCCTGTGCGACTATGGTCTGTGGAGAGCCGCTTCCAGGACTAGGATTCAGTGAGGTTTGGGGCCCAGGCATGAGGCCGAAAATAGTGGAGAGATGGTGGGCCAAGACAGTGGCTGAGAAGGAAGGGGATCATAGACTCCTGTCACAGAAGGCCTGACACTCATATACATGCACCTAGCTTGTAAGTGTGTGGTCGATCTCCCCTCATGCCTTCATTCTCCACAAATGCATTCATACCCAAACAGTCTGAGAGCTACCAATAGGGAGACCCCATTCATGACTTTATTATCCATCAGCACTGTCATATGCTCCTTTACATAGGATTCTCCCCCCATACACATGCCCTATACTTTGGGAGGGGTATAGGGTCAGCATCTGGGGGCCTTGGGAAATCACATTGTAATCTTTTCTTCCCTAGAGATAGCCCCATTTTAGAATTTTAGACCAAGAGCTGCAGGTCAGAGCTTGGTCTTGAATGAGAATCTGGTACTGACTGAACCCTTTCTCTGCCACGAGTTCATTGGCCCTTTTCAGAGAGGACTTAATTCTTGTGTTTATCTGTTTCTGTCCCATTCAAGGTAGAGAAACCTTTCTAGATGCCACCTCCTAGCTCAGACAAGTTAGTTCTCCCATCCAATTCCCTGCACAGCTCTCTGTTATAATATTTACCTTGTTGAACTAGGATTAGTTGTCCACAAGTTCATCTCATCTAGGGCAGAGAGATGTAGACTGCACAAACACAATAAGCAAGTGTCTCCTCTGTCCTCTGTGCCAGGGCCTGAATTGGACACTGGAAACACAAATTACAGATCACTGAGATCTAGTCTCCATCCTCAAGGAGTTCACAGTCTAGTGGGGAAGCAGACCAGGAAAATACTGGTGGATACTTGCTCAGATAGGAGCAGGTGGGCAATATAAGAACCAAAGACAAGGCCTGTCCCAAGGATACAGGGGTCACTTCCCAAAGGAAGTGAACATCAAACCAGACCTTGAAAAATGGGTCAGAATGTGTTGGGAATAGAAGGAGAAAAAATGGCATTTCAGGCTGAGCAAAGGCCAAGAAACAAGAAAACACACCATGTATTTTGGGGCCCAGTGAGTCAGCCAGTGAAGTTTAAGGATGGAGATCTAAGGAGAGACATGGCTGGACAGGTAGGCTGAAGCTTGATTGAGAAGTCTTGAGTGCCAAGTTGAGGTCTTTCCATAAAGCTTGTTTTGGTCTCCTGCTTCTGGGATCAGAATTGGTAACAGTGAGGACTCTCATAGCTAATTCCAGGCAAGTTTAAGGTAGGTTTTAGAGCCTGGACCCCAGGTTTACCCTTTCAGACTTTGTCAAAAGCCTGCCAGCTTCCTATCTCAGATTTCCTGCTGCTAAAATTGTCCTTCTGCCTGTTGGCAGGGTCATGGGGACAAAATTGTAAACATAGAAGAGACGTTCATGTGACCAGCTAGATTACCTTGAACATGCCACTTCCCCTCCCCAGACCTCAGTTTCCCTGTAAGGCTAACAAGGATGTTTGTAAGGATCAAATGAGATAAGGGATATGTTGTTGCTTTGTGGGCAATGGAAAACATACAGGGAAAGGGTTATAATTAAGATTATTAATATTAACAGATTTATACCAGTTAGGAAATTTATTAGAATTAAAAGAGTTGTATCTCTTACAAAGTCTAGTTCTGAGACTCTAGAGGTTCTGAGCTAACCTGTAAGACCACATTCTTAGATCAGGCGTGTTTGATTAATTAAAGAAAAGCCCTGGCCTGGGAGAAATTAGGTCCCTAGTGTTCTATTCCTGACTTGGCCACTGATTTGCTACATGACCTTAGGATATTTCTAGAAAAATATTTCTAGACCTCAGTTTTCTTACCTGAGAGGGTGAGATGAATTGATCTCACAAGTCTTTACACAAAATCAAAAGAGTAAAACCAAATTCATCCTTCTAATTGATTTGCAGGAGCTCTTTGCATATTATAAATGTTAAACCTTTGCCGTAATATTGTAAGTTTCCTTAACTGAGGGTTTTCTGTATGGTCAGCATTACAGTAGAAGTTTCAGGTTAGTCAAAGAAGTGTCTTATCATTTACCTCCCAAAGGGAGTAACAGTGTTAGATAATACATTTTTAACATTTCCCAGATTGCTTTACATTTTTTAACACATTGAATCTTCAACAATCCTAAGGAGGGTAGGTACTCCTATCATTGCCATGTTCCAGATAAGAAAACTGAAGCACTGAAAAGTTTAGTCTTCTGCTCATTGTCTCATAGCCAACAAGGGGCAGAGGTAGGATTCCACTCAAGAAATATGGTTCTAGAGCCTATTGCTCTTAACCATCATAATCTGCTGTCTCAGTTGATTCATTTAGATAGGTGGGCTCTGGAATGTATTAAAAGTTTGGTATGATTTATACACAACAACTGGAGGAAATCTGACCCTTGTGTAGACTAAGGCTTGCAAATGTATTTTAGGGAACTTCTTAAAAGGCAAAGTGGAACTGAGAGCATTTGAGGGCAGGGATTGGAAATTTCTGTCCCCAAGAGATTGCCCTTGTGTAGCCCAGCTCAGTGGAAGAAAGTTGAGCTTCCTCGTAGCCAATCATTGAAGGTTCACTGGGGGTGGGAAGGTTGCAGAAGAGTGAAGTAAGAGCACACGTGCGCATCTTCCAGGCAAGCTGTGCAGTTCTATGAGTTCTACACATAAAAGCCTCAAAACAACGTGTCAGGGGAGGGAGAGAGGGGGCAGGTGAGGGTGAGTCATCTGGGCTGGATGGCTCTGGCCTGTGGACTTGTCCTACTTTGAGGCCATTGCTCTTTGCTCCCTGCTGCAGCCTCCACCCTCTTAAATCTCCATCCTAATGGCTTGGCATGAGGAACTTTAGTGAAATTTTCTATCAGTTCATGATGCCAATGTCATTCTCCTTAGGGGATCTGACGGTGGCTAACAGCCATGTGGGCAGAGCTTACCATTCCCCCACCTCCAGCCCCAGGCAATGGCTGCACTCTTCCAAAGGTGTCAGTTTACTCCTATTTATTTAGCCCTTGGCTGGAGAGAGTAGAAAGATGATCAGATAGTGCCCATCTCTTCAAGAGTGCCCCAGGCAGCACATTTCAGGTGGGAGAGGCCCTGTGGCAAGGAAGGTAGCAGAATCCAGAGAAGACAAGGGATGCAAGGCCATTTTGGGTCGGAGAAGCAGAGAAGTAATGGACCTTCCATGTCCAGTTTGGGCCTCTAATTGCCAGCTCAAAACACTGCATTCCCCAGTAGGGACTTTGTGTTTGTGTTTTTGTCCTTGGGAACCTTGCATTTCTGATGTAAATCTTGATTTCTGGGTTGGAGCTTGACATTCTACTTAGGTCCATTTTTTGATTTCAAAGCTGGGAAAGCTGCTGAGACCTACCTCCATCACCTTTGCCTCTCTACCCCACACAGGCTGTAAGCACATGATCTTTGGTCTTTTATTTGCATACTCTATTAGTCTTGTCTTCATTGGAGGGAAGTGACTGGTCAGACCTGGACTGTGTTGCTGGCTGCCTTCCTTGTTGGGCTCCAACTTACCTCCTATGTACACAGCCCTTGGAGTTCAGAGGCCTCTCCTGACCTCTGCCCAACCTGTTGCTCTCTGCACCCAATACCCCTAGTACATACAGGAGCAGAGGCAGGCTAGGACCAGAGGAAAGAGGAGAGGGGACTGAAGACAGACTTTGAGAGGGCTTAGAAACCCAGTGCACCCCCTGTCCCAGCTCTGTCCACCTGCTGCTGTGACCACAGTGAGGGAAAAGACAGCTAGTAAGATAGGAAGTGAGGCCGGGTACCTTGTGGGCAGTGATGTCATTAGCTGCGACTCCTAAGATGTCTCCAGAGATGGGAGAGCTCACCCAAACCAGGTTGCAGAAGATCTGGATTCCACACAGCAGCGGCAGCAGCAGGCTGCATCGGAGAAGGGGCTGTAAGTGGGGTTTACTTCCGTGGGTTTCAAGGTGGTGGTGGTAGAGTGGGTGTAGAAGAGCAAAGGATGCACCTCCCCTTAACGTACACTCCCACCTCAACCTAAAAGTTGGAGTAGATGAACAACTGGATGAAATAGAGGCTAGTGTCAAAAAGGTGAGGAAAGAATGAGAGAGAAGACAACCGGAAAGAAAGAGATGAAGACAGAGAAGGAGGATTAGGTTAAGACCATCTTAATCAGAGGGATCTTTAGGAACTTTTCATTTCTTAGGCAGAGCTTGTTTGGAATGTTTCTTGTGTAGAATTTAAGATTTCTAGTTCAGGACTGTTCAGTGATAGCCTAGTATGTTTCATTTTGGTGACTTCTGTGAAGTGTCTGGGAGTTGGTCTTGTCTGACTGATAGTGCCTGGGTGAAATAAGGTGATGGCTCCTGGCATCATCTCTCAGGGGGCAGGTGCTGCGTACACAACAGTGCCATGTCACTGGTCAGTATTGCTCCTCTCCTTTCTCAGGCCTTTTCTGAGTCTGTACCTGCCTAGGTTGGGAAACACTTCATGTCCTGTCTCCAATGTTGGCTCTCTGGCACATATGGACCTCCTTGCTGCTCTGGGAATTTGAGAGAGACAGTCTCTCAGGGCCAGCCCACTGGTGTGGTGCTCACTTTGGAAATTTAAGAAAGATCAAGGGCAAAAGAAAAGTAAACAAAACCTGTACGTATTTAAAAAGAAACGAGTATACCCATTTCCCATAGATAACAGGCGACAGTGGTGGACCAAGGTGCATCCAGCCCAGGGATTGTGGCCTGAATGACCATAAGGTGGGTTAAGATAAGGCAGCTGTGGACTGTGGAACTCAGACACCCCAAAGGCCAGCTAACCAAGTTTCCACTCTGCTAATGCTAGAGGAGGCCCAGGCTCAGAGATATTGGGGGTAGCAGTAGTTGCTTAGAGGATCCAGGAGCATATAGAATGTTAAATATAGTTATAATATACAGGATGTAGGGTGTGGGTGGAGAAAGAGAGACAAAAAAGACTAGGCTCCTGTTCTCTCTCTTTCTTATCTCCACCAGCTCTCACACTCACTCAACTGGAGATCTAGGAGCCTGGAGACTGAGAGGTACCCTCACCCAGCCAGCCACTCTTGGCCTTTTCCAAGGGGCTGTTTAGTTGACAAGCAAGCCATTCTCTGCATACACGGGTCCTCTAGAGCTAGAATGCTTATAGTCCTGGGAACTGTGTCTTTCAAGTTGGAGAGATAATATACATAAATCATCTAATATAGTCTCTATCAAATAGAAGATGAAAAATAAATACGTGCTCACTTTAGTTTGGAGCGTCACTTCCCTCAGCTATAAGACAGAATTAATGCCTATGACCCAGTGTTATTGGGAGTAATTCACTGATTCAGAGGTTCTGGATCCAGACTGCTTAGGTTTGAGTCTCAGCTCTGTCTCCCCCTGTGTCTGTGACCTTGGACAACTCTTTTAACCTCTCTGGGCTTCTCTGTTTCCTCACCTGTAAAAGGAAGTTAATAACAGTGTAGTTGTGAAGATTAGATGAGCTGAAGCCTATGACATGCTTAGAAGAGTGTCCAGCACATAGTACACACTCAGTAATTGTTAATTATCCTAATTCTTATTGTTCTTGTTGTTTAAACAAGAAAGTGGGTGTGTGGTCTTATTTACCATCATATCCTCAACATCAGGCCCTGATCCTGGCACATAGTAGATGTAAATGGTCACTCAATAAATGGTCACTCTGTGCTACTTCCACTCTACCACTCGCCATAGCCAAAAATGGGGCTCTGTGTGCACAAGACAGTCACTCATTAATATCTGACTAAATTTTATCAGACCATAGATGCAAAAAAACTTAGATAGTGGTTGCCAAGTCTGGGCAATGTCTGGTTCACCTCTTGCTAGGGAGGCCAGTCTATTTGTCCCTGTAAGGTCTGAATCACCTTTTTCTTGGAGCATCCTCTCTAGAAGACACACAGTCACTTAATGTTATTCTGAAGATTAAATACATTAACATGTAAAGTACTTGAACAGCTGTGCATATTCTTTTCTCATCCAACATTATGTTTATGTGAACCACCCATGTTATTGTTGCAAGCAGTTGTAGTTTGTTTATTCCCCTTGTGAATATCCCACAGTTTATTTATCCATCTTACTATTGTTGAGCATTTGAGTAGTTTCTAATTTTTGATTATGAACAATAATCCAATGGGCATTCTTGTACCTTTATCCTGGTAGAGCAAGTGCCTCCATCTTGTCCTTCTTATGGAGTGTCTTGGCTATTCTTGGCCCAGTGCTCTTCTCCATAAATTTTAGAATCAGCTTTCCAAGTTAAACACACACACACACACACACACACACACACACACACACACGAGAGAGAGAGAGAGAGAGAGAGAGAGAGAGAGAGAGAGAGAGAACTTTTGGGATTTTGATGGAAATTACATTCAATCTGTAAATCTAATCAATTTGAGGAGAGTTGCCATCTTTGTGATGTTGAGTCTTCCCTAAATATGGTATATCACTCCATATATTCAGACTTTTTCATGTTGAGTGAAGTTTTATAATTTAATCCATAAAAGGCTTACATGCCATTGTAAGATTTTTTTGACTTATTTTTTGTTGCTATGTTAAATAGTACCTTTTTAGAAAATTAAATTTTATAGCAGTATGTTGCTAATGTATACAACTGTACTCGTTTTTCATGTAATGAATTTGTAACTAGCAAACCTGCTAAACTTTCTTATGAGTTTTGATAATTTGTATGTAAATGATAGCTTTCATTTTCCCCACAATCCTTATTTTTATCATTTTCTTATATTATTACACTGCTAAGACCTCCCACCTTTAATACACACACACGAGATGTGCAGTACATGTTGAAAAGAAATGTTAATAGTGTGTATTCTTATGCTGATCCCGATTTTAAGTTTCACCATTGAGTAAATTTGCTGTAGTTTTTTTGGTAGATATCATTTAATAGGTTAAAGAGGTTCCTGTGTATTCTGAGTTTGCCAATACAATTTTTAAAGCATGAGTGAATGTTGAATTTTATTAAACATGTTTTCTGTATTCAATGAAATGACATTAATTTTCTATTTTAACCCATTAATGTGGTACATTACATTAGAGTTTTTCTTGTGTTGAAATAATCTTGCAGTCCTGGGATAAATAAAAACTTCTGAATTTCTTTCACTAATATTTTGTTTAGGATTTTAGCATTTTACTCAGGAAAGAGATTGGCCTGTAATTTTTCCAAGAGTGTCAAGATTATAGTAACCTCATAAAATCAGAATGAAAAAAACCTTTCATTCTGTCCTCTGACAGAGGTTGTCTGCAGAACTAGCCATTCCTCAAATATTTTACCTGGCAGCATTTCCAGGTGAAACCATTTGGACCTGGTGTCTCCTTTAATATTTTAACGGATACAATCTCTTTTATCAGTTATAGAATCCTTTCAGTTTGCGATTTCCACTAAAGTCAGCTTTCTTAAGCTTTCCTAAGTCATGTATTTCTAGGAATTTTTCTACTTCACATCAGTTTTCAAATTTATTTTGTGTGAAGTTCTTATCTTTGTATCTTTTTAAAATCTCTGTTGCATTTGTAGTTATAGCTTCTCTTTTGTTATATTGTTTATTTGCACCTTCTCGATCAATCTTGCTATAAGTTTGACACTTCTATAATTCTTCTAAAATAATCAACTTTTGACCTTTTGATCCTTTCTGTTATCTTTATTTTCTATTTAACTAGTTTTTCATCATTATTCTGTTTCTCCTACTTTCTTTGGATTCATTCTGTTGCTCTTTTTTAACTAGTAGGGTTGCATGCTGCTCAGCTCATTCATTTTCAGACTTTCTTCTTTTCTAATTTAAGTATCCAATGCTATAATTGGCCTACTAAACAGGGCTGATATTCCACAGATTCACAATCATATGGCCATATGAATTTTCAAAATATTTCTAGTCCATTTTATAAATAGGCACTGTCCCAGGCTTTTTTAGTCTCTCTGATACTTACCCAGCTACCTGGCCACCTCAATTCCTTTCCCAGGGCAGCCAGGACCTACTGATTATCATCTAGCAACTAAAGGATTAATGCCTACCACAGCAGGAGGTCTCCAGTACTTGGTGCCAGCCCTTGGACCAGCTTCTGTTTTGATAGATCAGTGCTCTTGTCATTTCCATTTTAATTCCATTCTAGTCGGAGAACAAACTTTGTATTATTTCAGTTCTTTGAAGTCTGTTGATACTTGCTTTATGGACCAACTTATGGAAAATTCTGGTAAATGTTCCATGAGCACTTGAAAAGAATGTGCATTTTACAGTTGTGTTTAGTGTACTATATACCTCGATTGAGTTGTGTTTGTTAATCTGGCTCAAATGTTCTATATTCTTCTGGGGTTTTAGCTGCCTGTTGATATGGAAAATTTGTTAATGTTTCCTTGTATTTCTGTCCATCTTGAAAGTTCGTAGTTACAAACAGATTTAGAATTGCTATATCTTCCTTGTGAATTGAATATTTTATCACCATGTAAGGAAATTATTAACTCTGGTAATACCTGGTAATTTGGTATCATTGATGTTTTTGCCCTATAATCAATCTTTTTTCTCATATTAATATACCTACTAGCTAATGTACCTATTAGCTTTATTTAGCTTAATATTTGCCTGGTATGTGTTTTCCTACATTTTAAAAAAATTGTTTTTGATAGAGATATAATTCACATACCATAAAATTCACCATTTTGAAGTATACAGGCAGTGGTTTTGAGTATATTCACATAGTTGTGTAACCATCACCACTAATTCCAGAACATTTTCTTTATGCCAAAAAGGAGTTCCATACTGTAGACTCACTCCAGATGACCCCCTCCCCTTAGCCCCTGGCAACCAGTAATCTACTTTCAGTCTCTAAGGATTTGCCTATTCTGGACATTTTATATAAGGGGAGTCATACAATATGTGGCCTTTTGTATCTGGCTCAT